CACTCAAATGCTGAATATTTAATGCTAATGGGTGAGGTTAATGATGAGTAAAAAAAATCCCATTTAATTCCCCATGAAATCAAGCATCCCCCTTAAAAGGTGAGTTAAACCCCCAAGGCCGGCCCAGCGGGCCCCGATGTCGACGACGAGGTCCCGCCCAGGGCGGCCATGGCGTAGGCTTCCACACGGGCCTGGAATCAGCGGCTGGAAATGGCAAGCTCGCCGCTGGTTTGAATGTGAAAACCATGGAAAAATATTGGGGTGGGTGGGAGCATATCTTCTCAACGGAGGTTTATAGCTGGAAAATCATCTATAAATAGGAATGAATGAGATACTTAATGGATACTTCATGGAATATCTGATAGTTTACCCTCCGCTAATCAAATGTGGCTGGCTGGGAAATCCCCGAACTAAATGGAGATCTAAAGCGAAAGTCATCTAAAAATATTGGTAGATGTTCCAGCAAGCCACGTTTGACTGCCAACGGGAATATGTTTTTTTTCAATCCGAAGAAAATCTACATCCATATTGTCCATCGGAATTGACATAATATGATGATATGTATGCATATGTATATATATATGTATAACTGTATATATATATATACATGCGCTTGTGCTTGCGTCATTTAGGGCCATCATCCCATTCCTATGGTTGCAAATTTCCACAAATCATTTAGCACCAAGATCATCATGTTGTTCCAATCATTTTTGGAATTTTAAAAGCACAATTAATTGCAAACACCATTGTTGCTGGAAAACCATGATCTCAAGAAACCTGGAAATCACCATGGTCACCTGGGCCGTGATTTCACAACGCCATCAACCTGGGCCCCATAGAATTGCCTTTCTTCAGAAAACCCTCGTTTTGCACAATGTAAGATCCTGACAAATTGAGGGTATTCATCAGGTGCTCTCTCTCTATATATATGTATATATGTACTGTGTATATAATATATATATATATATAAATATTTATATATATATATGTATATATGTATATATATATATGTATACATATATATATGTGCATACATATCCAATATAAATATATATATATGCATATATATATATATATTACATGATGGGGATGAGAAAGCAAAAAATATGGATATGTTTTTCTTCAAATCATTAACTGCTATCACTGCAATCTAGTTGGTGGTTGAGCCAACCAATCAAAAAAAGATCATCATGGATCATCATCCCTTTTTAACCATTGGACAAGCAAGAAGTCAAAACCACCAGCGATACATGGGGAGACCCTACAAAAAGTTGTTCTTGCACAACGCATCGACGTATGGCACAGTTACATAATATGTTTATGCGATTTTTCGCTAAACATCACCCAAATCTTGTCAAGTTTAGCATACTCGGATGATGTATCGGTGATGGAAAACAGTCTCTTTTGATCTCTTTTGGGCATCCACTTTTACTTTGAGAATCATGAGGCGTTTCGCTTGGCGCTAGTCTTTGGTGTTTTGCCAAAGCTGCCCACTACTTGATCCTCCTGGCCTGGTGCTAGCGCAATTCTAATCAGCACTACTGGAGTCTCAAGAATTTGAGACATATACAGAGATATAATTGAAAATGGCCATTTATAGTGGATTTTCCCATAAAAAATGGTGATTTTCCATTGCTATGTTAGTTCACCAGAGGGTATACAAGTGGATTGGTTCCCTAGCAAGTCAATATCATCCCATTTGCCAAGCACCGCGACTTTGCTGGGCAAAAATCGTCCCATATCGTCCCCTCCTGCTCCGCAGCATCGTTCAGGGCCTTGGAGAGGCAAAGCGGCAAAGACATCTCCAAATTTTGGTGCTTCTCTACATTGAGCTAGCCCAAAGCCATGTGGCCCATTTTGTCAGCTATAACTCTTGGACCCCAAAAGTACGGACATCTAAAATTGCTGGTTGATAGGGGTTCAATGGGGTGAATCCCCTCAAACATATGGGAATTCAGGAAGTTTTGACCCCTCCCAGGTCTCAATGCAACAAGTTCAAAAATGGAATGGTCCTGGGGTCCCATTTCGAGAATTCTCCATGAATCTAGTGCAACATCTTATGGAAGATATCGTGATATGTGACTGCTGTTGACCCGTTCCTAAAGAATGAGTTCGTTGGCAACAGCGTTCTGCGGATAGGAAAATGAGCACTTGAAACACCAGCCAAACCAGGGATAGGCTCATCAAATGCTGGATGTTTGTATTGCACGAATGTTGAAACGTTTGATTACATGCCGTGGAGCGCAAAACCAATGGTCATCACCTTCTATTGGTTGGTCGGTGGGGTTTCCCATGAATCGAAATGTGAATCAGCTTGTATTCCCCAACAACTTATCATCAACTAACCATCATTATCCATCATTTTTGGGTTCTATGCACAATTTGATTGGTTAGCATCCCCCAGCTTGACAGTTCATACCCCAAGATGTAGCAATTTCCAATCCGGGATGAACTGACAACTGCTGAGCACAAACGCGGAATTTCTGAAACGTTTGGTGGGTGGTGAATGGAATGAGAAGGGCCCCAGAGATTCTTGAAATGGTTTGGCCTTAAAGATTTGCAGATTTGCAGAACCCTCTGGTAGTTCAACATGGCAGTGACATGCAATGACATGGCAAATGGAAAATTGTCGGTTTCAATCGGTCCATCATTTCGTTCATCTTCGCGCTTTCTTCCACTGCTTACCATGATCAGCATCTTTGGGAGGGCCTTATGGACCATAGAGTTGTCTTGTTGAAATTGGCATGGAAACGATCCTTGTTCCAGTTTAGGGTTTTCTCTGGGGAATCCATGGGAATCCATGGGATTCTCAACATTCTTTGCAGAGTTGAGTCGCCATCATCGCAGCCAGCCATTACGATCATCAATGGCACCCATGATTTCGTTGCGTTTTTTCCGTTGCAACTGTCAACCACTTTGACCTTGGGGTGCTCTTGGGAGGGTGGAGCATATAATCTGCATATAGCACCATCATCTTCCAGAAAATCATGGCAGAACACATTTCTCATCTTAGCTGGCCTAAAGATGATATGCCGCCAATTCTGCCGAACAGTTCGCCGTTAACCTGTCATTCAATCGGCTTTGCTCGTATTTCTTGGTACAATTTCGTCGCAATTTTTGGGACGGTTCTCATTTGTAGCTCAAACATCGGTGGAGCAACCGAACCAGGTTCTTTTCCTAAACGACTCACTCAAGAAACCCGGGTTTCAATGGCCATATAAATTCCATGTTTGCTGTTTCAAATCCCGAAATTTATGAGTTATCTAAGTATGGTTGGTGGTTTGAGTTTGTCTGAAAATAAAATACCCCCAAATCGCTTTATCACCACTTTCTCAATCACATGGCTGTAGAATAGGCCAATGTTCAGTCAAAACATACCCACATTGTCACTTACATTTGGGGGGTTCCTGAAATGAGGTACTCCCAAATCATCCAAGTCATTAGACCACTTTAGTATTAAATTCTATGGTTTTGGCTATCCCCCATTTTAGGAAACCTCTATATCCCATTGTATCACTCCATTCTGTCCTCATTAAAACAACATAACCACATTGCAATCCCAGGAGATGCCAGGTGGTGTTCCAGGTCGGTCGTTAAGATGATGATTCTTTGACCATAGTAAGATGTGGTTATAAACCAACTGATAACCATCAAGTCTCACTGAAATCCCATGGAAATCCCATGGAATCTTCATTAAATCCCATGATATGCCATGAACTCACCATGATACCACCATGATATCACCATTTTCAAAGGAATGCCCCAGGTTTTCTGCGCTGCACTGGAGCACGCCACCGTTGAGCACCCCTACCCAGCGGGCCGCATGGCCAGGGTGCAGCAGCCAGCAACCAGCAGCCCCTTTGGCCTGGATATAGATGGTATGTGCACATATATATATATGTATGTATATATATATGCTTAATGGATGGTTAATGGTTGTTTAATGGTTGGTTAGTGGTTGGTTATTTGCTAGAATAGTTTTCTGAATACCCAAACGTTACCCCAGAAGAGTTGGTTGATGGTGATTCACCCAGTCAGTCATGGTAATACCCTCTGGTTATTTAACATAGCTATGCAAAATGACCCATTTATAGATGATGTACCTATTCAAATGTTTTTTTTTTCCATGGCTATGTTGGTTTACCACAGTTTATATATATACATATAGCTGTATACATACATATACAATCAAATATATATATATATATATAAACATCCCGGCGGGTGGTTTATTGAACCCGCGTTTCCAACGTTAGCACTGTTCATCATTCATTTCATCCCATAAATCACAGTGGTTTTGCATCTCTCTCATAGTTGAATTTCCTTAAAAAGTGCGCGCGTACTTTTCACTGGACATGTCAAAAAACTTAGCGGCCTTCTCTTTTTTTCTGCGCTAAGTGTTCTTCACAACCTCTGCAGTGAGCTTGGAGAGGTTTTTGTGGGAACTGTTTTCCCATCTCCACTGCCAAGCGCGAACATGCGTCCAAATCGATATACTTCTATTTATGTATGTGAGGCAGTGCAAGAAGACGTACAGTGGCGTAGCATCATGTATGTGAGGAAGTGCAAGAAGACGTACAGTGGCGTAGCATCATGTATGTGAGGAAGTGCAAGAAGACGTACAGTAGCGTAGCATCATGTATGTGAGGCAGTGCAAGAAGACGTACAGTGGCGTAGCATCACGTATGTGAGGCCGTGCAAATGAATGTTATTAGCCCACCCCACCCCACCCCCTTAACCCCATGAAAGACATAGAAACATGCAAAACGCTGGTTCGGTTTTCCACCCGTAGGCATAAACATGCAATGTACATATGACATGGGAAATTTATGGAACATATGTGAAAATATGGGGATTTTTAGTTAAATTGGAAAAACATGGGATGTATATATATATATATATACACACATATGTATATATATATATAAAGAGTGTCCACACACCCCATTTTTACTTCCACTTCGCAGCACATTTGTTGATGAATGGAAGAGGAATTCACTTCCTCGTATTGAAAAAATGTTGCCATGGAGCCCAGCCAAACCCGCGGCTCCATTTGTTGATTTTTTCATCAACCCCCCTAAGTGGATTTGGGCCAAACCCTCCTATCCACAAAGCCAAGGGTGAATTCACCGAAAGAGTTCAAATAAACCTGACAGGAAAAAATTAAATAACGGCTTTTGTCACGGCTCTTTCTGCTTCTAGCCCTTTTTCGGGGCTTCTTTCCCTCCCGAAAAGAAAAAGGAACCTGGGAGGGAGGTGAGGGAAGCTAAAGCCGAAACACTTCGGATGTAACAATGGGTTAGTGTCAACTCTTTACTCCCGGGGGCGTGAATACAAAGAGTGTCCACACACCCCATTTTTACTTCCACTTCGCAGCACATTTGTTGATGAATGGAAGAGGAATTCACTTCCTCGTATTGAAAAAATGTTGCCATGGAGCCCAGCCAAACCCGCGGCTCCATTTGTTGATTTTTTCATCAACCCCCCTAAGTGGATTTGGGCCAAACCCTCCTATCCACAAAGCCAAGGGTGAATTCACCGAAAGAGTTCAAATAAACCTGACAGGAAAAAAATTAAATAACGGCTTTTGTCACGGCTCTTTCTGCTTCTAGCCCTTTTTCGGCGCTTCTTTCCACGACCCCCTGTCCTTCCATGCCTTTGGCATGGAGGCTCAAGTGTTGAGAAAGAGGGACGGGAACGTTGATTCTGGAAAATCTTTAGGAAAGGGGCCAGGGAGGGGCGGGAAGCAGGGAGTTGGAGTTCAGCTAGAACTGCGAGGCCATCGTTTAAATAAATTCGAGCAGTTTTGGCAGCTTGCCAGCGACCTTGTACTAGAATCTGATCTAAGGAGTGATGGCGGTTGAACCACCATGTAGCACCCCCACGACGTAAACTATATGGTCTGAAAGAAAAACCTTGCAAGTCAAGAGCTTCAAGGGCCTGATTAAACAAACTACGCCATTTAGCCGGGCTTGGCGCCAACCCTGTGGATGGAGACGCCAGTGACTTCCACTGTTTGATGAATCTCACCACCATGTCATAGCCAATGACACAGCTCTCAGCTGCACCCTGTCGCTTTCCCCCTTTGGTGAAGCCTAAAGAGAGGATGACTTTGTCGTGTGCCGCCTCGCAGAGCATATGGCTACACTTTAAGGTGATGATTTCACCAGTTCTCAGCATGGCATAGAAGCCAACTAGAAGCCAACTAGAAGCGAAATCGCAAAGGTTCCATGGCCATGAAACAAGGCCCATCCGACCATAGCATGCAGAACGTGGGCGGGCAGGGGAGGTGCGCGGCTAGGGATTTCGTTGAGACTCCAGGTTTTTAGTAACCTCCAGGCACCTTGGAGGTGACCTTTGATCTTAGGGTCCTGGTCTTGAAGACCTGCAACAGTATCACTAGCTAATGCGCGTCCATATCCCTGAGACCACAAATGTTCCAAGTATTCACACACCAGGGTATCAAGATGTTGGCGCTGTTTAGGCAGGGTAAGATTGTTTGCACGAAGAAACTGTAGAAAACCATCAATGGCTGCATTATATCTTGCTTTGGTGGCAGGTTGCACGGTGAAATCTTTTAAGGTTCCTAATTTCTGTCGTTGTTTGGCTCTCTCGACCTGTGTGTTCCTTTCGACAAAACGTTTAGGCATGTCGAAACTTGGTCCTAATCCTTCGAGCCCAGCGACTCGGACGGTCTGCTGGGTTCTGTTCTGTGTGCACGTAGCCCCACATGACTTGCGAGGAACTACACAACAAGAGAGCACAGATACGCGACAGTGTGGAACGCAGCTTCCGGCTGCTAGATCTTCCCCTTGACAACGCATGCAACACCACGAGACTGTCCACCAAATGCAAGAAACGCTTACCTACCTGTCCTTTGTGTGCCAACCTCCATTTGAGGGTTGTAAGAACCGCCCTCAGCTCGAGACTGTTGATGTGTTCCTTACTGCCTGTCCAACGCCACCCGCTGACTACCCGCCATTTCCAAAGGCGGGCGGGAATCGTAGCTCGAAGGCGATGATATTTGCACAACTGTGACGAAGGGGTGGTCAGGAGCACATCTTCCCCCTTGATGCTGATGAGGTTGGATAGTTTTTGGACCATGTTCCCTTGGTCCTGTGGCTGTCTAAGAGGCCGGAGAGGAGTTCGCCACAGCCTTGTCTGCAGATAGACCTGGCCTTGGGGCGTGAGCATGTTCATGATCTGCTGGGGCGTGTATAGCGGACACAGGCCCAACCTCCCGAAGAGCTGGGAGGCAAGCCACGCAACAACGGGTACTGACCAAGTGTTGCCGACCAAGCTATGTCGCAGGTCGCTGTGGGTTTGGCTTCCCCGCTCACCCTTGGGCACCGAATTGACGGTGTACCCTACGGGGAACCCCATCATAAATTCTTTCTCTTCAATGCTCGGCAACCGCAACTCTCCTGTGTGCCCAATCAGGAGATTACGCTTGGTGTACTGATAAGGAGGGTATCGATGAGAGTCTGCACTCCACCGATCGACATCCTCCTGCGCACATTGCTGCAACCCTGCAGGCTTGCGCCCTGGTGTTGGCCGCGGCCGCGATGTAGTGAAGGTGGGGAAAGGCCTCTCGCAATCATACTTGATCCACCCCTCCTTACACACCAGCTCCAGGTCCTGGGTGGCCGTCAGAACCACCTCCCTGATCTCCTGGTGCTGCAGGAGAGCACATCCCTCCTGTTCAGCGATGTCCCAAGTGAGCCAGTATAGGCGGGGACGACTACACCATGTCATAGTGCCTGCGTCACACTTCCAAGGGTCAGCTCCAAATGCAGAGGTCATAGTGTGTCTGTCAACATTGTCCATGGAGGCCACACTTTCCATCAGCCCATGGACTTGGCACCACGGAAAGGCCCGTCGCACCAATGACAAGATGCGAGGTACGTGGACAAACAGACGCGACCGCTCGTCCTTGAGAGCCCCCTTCCGATCGGCGTTCAAGCCGCTGACGCCTTGGCAAGGGGGGCCTCCACCCACCAAGACGACTGAAGCCTGGGAGTAGACCCGAGCCCACTCCCGTACCTCTGTGTCATCCACATCTTGGACGTCATGAAGTACCCTGGTTTCAGGAAAGTGGGACTCCACAACCCTCGCAGCGTGCTTGTTGGTTTCGACACTGACATGCCCGATGACTTGCAACCCCAGTAGGTCTGTTGCCACACGTAGGGCCCCGATACCGTCAAACAGCCCAACTGTCAGAACTTGATGTTCTTGACGTAACTCCGGCAGCTCCCCACGTAGTTTGCCGTCCAACACCTGGATTCCCCAGCTTGTAAGCCCCAGGGAGGCACACACCCCACCCCCCGATGAGGAGGCATCACTGCAGGTAACTTGCTCGTGAAAAGGTGTCCGGAAATCCATTCGGGCCAGTGGCAGGAGACCCAAGAAACGCAGGATCTCCAGACGACACTGTGAGGGCAGCACTTGAGCCTCGCCCAACCCATCGTGGAAGCTCTCAATGAAGTGCCAGACAGAGTTCAAGCAGCATAGCAATGGCCTCCTAAACATTGAGAAATAGACTAGACCCCCGCACACCACTTGCATCTGTCTCTGTGTCACACGGGTCTGTTGCACCAAGGCCAATGCGGCTCCCAAGTACTTGACCAACTTGGCCTCACGTGGGTATGCCACACCTGCATCCCCATCGACCATGGCACCTTGCACCTCCGCCTGCTGTTGACGGCTCACGCTCTTCTTCAGGTTGCGTGGGATCTCCCACCGCTCGTACTCTTGTCTGAGCGCAAGTACGGCCGGGGCCACTGTCCCCTGCAGGTTTGTAACTCCCAAGGCGTCCACCCGTTCCAACAGATCATAGTTGTCGAGGTAAATCCTCCAGCATGGGTTCTTAACAGTGACCGGGCGATCCTTCCGGATCTCCCCTTCAGGAGGATTCTCCCCTACAACTTCAGGATCTTGTCCCGAGCTCCACAACGACAAGTTGCGGTGGACATGCTGGGCCAAGGACACGCTGTTCAGGAATCCCATGGGAAGTACTTTGGCAGCCAGGTAGACTTCACGACCCTGCAGGTCTGATGGCAAGCAATCCTGCGGTACCACTTTATTGAAGGCCAGGTATTTCCACCAGGAAGACGGCACGCTCATCGTGTAGAAAAAGCACCGTACGTCTTCACTACTGACCAATAACCTGTCACTTGGTTGGATGTAGAATGGTGTCATCAGCGACCACATGGGCAATGTGTCAACGTCGCCACGGAGGCTATGAGCTATACCATTCAGTGGCACCAAGTTCATTATGAGTCTGAAAACCTCCGTTTCGCGTACCCACTCATCCTTGGATACCCCAAACAATCCATTGAGCAGGAGATCCTCCCCTAAGGAGAAAACCTCCTCACGCTCTAGAAAAGTGCAGATTCCAGTGTTTACTAAGCCAGAGCAGACCGCCGGCCAGTCGTCATCACTGACCATGACACGGGGGGGTCGGCTTCTTTCCCACTGCTCAGGTGGCTTAATGAACGAATCAAAATGTTCGACATAGTGTTTTGCCCCAAGCGTACACACCTCTTCTAGTGGTACCCGGCCAATCTCACTTGGCAATGCATGCCGGATATTGTCCCAGCAAAAATTCCTGGCGGTCTTAATTTCATCACCTTTGTAGTCGGTTGACCGTGTCCTAAAGAAATCAGTCCACGAGAAGTCGCCCAGGTTAACCTTCATGGATTGAAATCGGGAAACATCCTTTGACAAAAGTTCCAGACAAGCCATTGCAACCGGATGAACCACCTCATCATTGCAAAACCCACAGCCCCAAACCGAGTTGAGTGATAAACAAATGGCCTGCATCCAACCAATCCCTTCCTTAGTTAAAGTGGGTAAAAGGTTTTCCAAGACGCTCTCTGAGGTAGGCAACGGATAAAGATCTTTCGACCCTTTCGTGCCCGTGGACGAGCTGCGAAGTGGAACAACCTCTGAGAGCTCATGGAAAACCAACCGCCCTAGATCACCCATCGATGACCCACACAAAAACTCCCCATCTTTTTTCGGCACCTCGGACTCTGCTACAGATCCAGTAGCCAAAGGATGGCCCTTCCCATCTGGAAAAAGTGAAATGAAAGGGGGTGCAACAGCACCCATAGGTACAACTCCCGGATAACTGATGGGAGGTACCGGAGGAAAAACATCAAGGTTCTTCTGAGGTGGCACTAAAGGCCCCATCTCCTTGACCACAGCGTTGTGGCCTGGCCCTTCAAAACAGGCCTGGTCACTCCGCTCAAAAGTGAAACCACCTCCTGTTGCTGCTATCTCAGGAGGTTCACCCACAGATCCGGACAACATCCCGCACGGACCACCTGTCCCGGGAGTCATCCCCCTTTCTTGTCCTGTCCCTTTCCTTTCTTGTCTTTGTTCTCGTCCTTCCTGTCGTCCCTTCTCCATGGATTGCTGTCGCCACGTCCTCCTTTGCTCTTTCCCTTGTTGTCCGCCTTCCCACTGCCAGCTGCTTGGGCTCTCCACCTGGTTCTTGCCTCTTCGAACTCCTCCTTCCTCGCGGATGCCAGCTCGGCCCGGGCAACCAGCCCCGGCTGGTCGGCTGGAGGTATCTCCAGTTTCTGGGCAACAGGCCAGGCGGTGCCTTGGCTGACGGCCTCCTGGGCCTTCAGCCGTTGGGCAATCAAGTCTGCCGCACACGCCGGCTTGCCTCTTATCAGGAGGTCCAAAGCTGCACTCAGATTCAACATCTCGCGACTCTGGGCGCCGCTGGTTCGCTTTGCCAGGACCGTCCTGAAATAGAGGACTGCTATGGGTTTCACCGACGAATCGTCCATGTCCTCCCCGGACGTCGTCAAAAGCGATCGCTTCATCGCTGCAATCGCCTCGACTGTAAGGGCCCCGGGGTAGCGCTCTGCTACTGCCCTCACCTTGGTGTCCTCCGCGAACACTCCATCTACTCCTCGTGGCTCCTCCTGTGTGGGACTGCTGGATGAGCTGCTGCTGCCTGAAGACCTGCTGCTGCCTTTCCCTCGCTTGCGGGACACCAGCTTCTGGGCGCGCTTTTGCACTCTCCTCCGTACTTTTTCTCGGGGGTCGAGGCCGGTACCCCTGAACAGCTCCTTCACTTCCTTTTGAGCTGCAGCAGCGGGGTTCCTTCCGTCGTCGACGTCCTTGCTTTTCTTCTTGACTTTCTTTTCCTTCTTCTTTGCCCGATCCTGGGAAGCCTCCTGCTGCTGATCCCCAGGAGGCCCCCCCTGCTTCGGCACAGGAGGGGGACCACCCTCCTGTTCCTGCCTTTCCAGGGCTGCTGACCTCTGCCGTAGGCGTGCTAACTCGTCTGCTTCTCCTTCTCCTGCCGTGGACTCCAAATTGCTGACCCATCCTTCTTCGCCTTGGGCTTTCATCTGGCGCACCTTCACCAGATGGAGCGTGTACTCCCCCACAACCTGTCTGCCACAGCCTTCGCGGCAGATGTGGCACCTGAAGAGGGTCTGTGGCTGGCTGGTGTGGGCTCTCAGCAGGGCCTCGCTGTCTGTCCCTTTGACCCTCAACTGCACATACGTGTCCCCTTGATCCACCTCCAACTTCCGGATCTCTCCGGCCACCTTGCAATGGGCCCCAAAGTAATCCGCCTCCTCTGCAACCAAGCAAGACCCGGGGACGAATTCTCCCAGGGGCACCTCCCAGGCCTTCACTGCCAGGCCCTGCTGCCACGGTGACTGCTCCCCCACCGCTTGGGCCGGCCGCCGCAGATGTGCTCTCCTCCTCAGGGCAGCCGGTCTCCTGATGGGAGGTGCCTTTGCCTTGGCTTTTGCCTTCACCTTGGCCTTTGGTGGCATCACTGCCTTTTCTTCCGGGCCGCTTTCCTCGACTCCGTCCAGGCCCTAAACTCTTGGCCTCGCTCTCTTCTCTTCTGTCCTTTGTTCTTCTTTTTCTGATTGCGTTTGCGCTTCTTCCCCGGGACCTCTTGCGGTCTACGGGGCAAAGGAGGCCTTTCGGGAGAGATGGGGCATTCACTGCCTCGCCTTTCCCTACCCGGGTCCTCCTGGATCCTTCTGCCGTCCCGGTGATGGCTGCGGCGAGGGCTTCCTCCTCTGTGTTCGTCCCTTCTTCTTTCTGACCCCTCTGCCTGGTCCCTGCGGTCTACTCCTGAACGTGACCTAGGAGCTTGGGCTGAAGCCTTACCCGTGGGGAAGAGTTGCAACCGATGTGTAAGGTAATGAGGGTCGAAGTTTGGGTGCAACTTCCTCTTCTCCTCTTGTCGCGGCTTGTCTGCTTCGGTCACTCTCTCCCTGTTCTCCTTCTTCTCCTCGGGAGCCTCGCTAGTGCGATGGTCCTTAGCTCCCGATTTACCTTTGTCCTCAACTTCCTCCTCAGGGGCGTCCTGACTGATCTCTTCCTCTTCTTCACCTTCCTCCTCGTAAGAGTCTGCAGGGCTGGCTTTCTCGGTCTTCACTTCCTCTCCTCCTGTCGGCCCGGGGGTCCGGCCGCTCGTCTCCCCCTGAGCAGGAGTCGCCCCCCTTTGGGCTTGACTCCTGGGTGGATGTTGCTTTCCACCAAGTCAGATAATTCCCCGGCTACCCCCCGCAGGAGACCCGTCACCCGCCTTTCTTCGAAAGCAGGGAGGCCTCCCGACTCAAGGATGCCGAGGATACGCGATCCGGCCAGGCAAGCACCGCACACCGGGGTCCCTGAGAACACCCGGCACCTAGTGCAAGCCATCCAAAGCTAAAGCCGAAACACTTCGGATGTAACAATGGGTTAGTGTCAACTCTTTACTCCCGGGGGCGTGAATACATATATATATATATATACGGTCACTACATTTAAATATACGAACTGGTATTTTATACTACCTCCTGGGCCTCGCGGTCTGGCCCGCCTTCCACATTTTAAATGTCGTTACCGTATATATATACACAGTATGTGAATCGAGAGGATGCTGAGGTGATGGTGGTTACGCCATGTTGGGCCGCCCTTTCGGATGGCGCTCACGTTGGGCCCTGGTGCAATGGCCACAGTCGTTTCACTGGATGGTGGCGGCGTACGCGGGTGAGTTGAACAGAAACTGCCCCTGTCAAATTACAAAAGTGTCATCTGATACAAAGATCTCTGTTCAAGCACAAGACTCTCAAAGAGATCTTTCTTAGAGTACAAGGGTGCCTTGAGCAGAGAACCCTGTTAAAGTACAGGGCTGTCTTGAAACAGTGATCCCTATTGAAGTAAAGGGGGCCTTGAAACATAGATCCTTGTTCAAGTACATGAATGTCTTGCTCCCTTCTCAAGTACAAGGCTGTCTTGAGACAGAGATCTCTGTTAAGTACAGGGATGCCTTGAACAAAGGCCCATGTCAAAGTAGAAAGGTGCCTTGAGCAAAAGATCTCTGCTCATGTACGGGTACAAGGATGTCTTAAACCAGAGACTTTTGTTCAAGCACAAAGATGGAAGGGCATAAATAAACCTTTGCCAAAAGGACCTGTCCAAGCACATGGATGCCCTGAACAAGGGGCTCTGTTTGAGCACCCTTGGATGTATATATTGGAGAGATCTCCGGTGAAGTACAAGGGCGCCTTGAAATTATCCTATCTATGATGTTGGGTACCTATCTATGGTTAACCTACTATATATCTTAAATTCCCAGTTTCACACCTGCCTTGAAACCCAGCACTGAACTCCCGCCTGCACCGCCACCTGCAGGGCTCCTGCACCGCCCGAACGGTCGCAGCACACGAAACGCAACGAGGAACTGCCACCTGTGGAGCATTTCGCGAATGGGAAACCACCATTTCATGGGATATTTAAAGGGAATATTCACGGATCCTGGGTGATGAACAGATTTTCCATGGCTTAACCCAATCCTCAGATAAAATGACTGTGGGGTACTTGGAGGATACCACAGATCGGAAGTGGTAACTGGGGATAGGTCAGCATTTTTCTATGGGATAAAAAAATCCTCCAAGAAGGGAATAGGCCGTAGGCCAAAATGATTTGTGGAACATGTTTTTGCTGAGTCGTCATTTCACAATATATATATATAATTACATATATATATACACATATGTTTATTTATAGACATGCATTTAAATATGTTTATATATATATATATATATACAAACCTGCATTTACATAGTATCTGCGAGAAGGATAAGAAAGTAGATCGTCACTATTTTAGTAGGATTTTACCTTTCTGTCTTTTTGAGGATTACGATGAATATATATATATATCTGGGTATTATCTGGGTAAATGATAATATTTCACTAACCTGAATCTTGCGGCCATTTGGGGATGATTTCCCTTACTAACCATGATTCCAGGGCTCGGTCGCGACGTGAGGTCGCGATCGAATTTACCCAGATACTGTATATGTATAATATGTATGTCATATGGAACTATATGAGGTCACCTTGATTTTATGAGGTCACCCATACCTTGGATCATGAAATGATGGGATCTTGGATCATCATCCCCATGGTCGGCCCTTTTGGGATTCCGCTCGCGATTTTTTTCAGACAACTTGTCACCACGACATACGAAAAAGCAAATGGTATAAAGTGGGATATCAATATGTATTATACATAATTACATATATGAGATACACATATATCATATCTTTTGATTGCTAAACATTAAATGTAGTTTGACTGTGACAAACATGACATGGGATGACAATATCCGATGACTCCACTTCCCTGACTAAAGAGGATATCATCGCAAGTCATCATCCTCCAAGTCACTTTTTGTGTGTCTTTACCCTCCCGTAGTCAACCATCTGGGTAGATTATAACATTTCACTAACCTGAATTTAATTTCACTAACCTGAATTTTGCGGTCATTTTGGGATAGTTACCCCTGGCCCCTCACCATCGTGGCAGTGAGATCAGTGCATGGCTCCCCAACATTGGCACCTGGGCAAAGGCTTGCGGATCGCCTGGGACGAAACCAGGCTTTGTGCTTTTCGACCAAAATAGGAAGGAAACGAAGCCGTTACAGTTGAGTATTTCATTGTTTTTTGGGAGAAAGATAGGGCACCTGTTTCTGAAATACAACACATTATATAAGCATTTTTTGTTGAATATGTCTCAGTAAACTTGGGGGCATGTATGTTCTATTCCCATCATCCCGAACATGTACATATATATGTATATATATATATCAAACACATACAAGACGACATGATGACATAACTGAATCCTACGTTTACGACAAGCATGACATGGAAATAGATGAAAACATACATTGACATCTTCCTTTTTTGTGGCTTAAGACAGCAAAAACAAGATTGCACAACCAACGGGAGGAAATGGCCATAGACAAGGCAATGTCAGCAAGAAAAACTGATCAACAACACGTGTATACTGACCACCAAAGATTTTACCATGATATGCCTTGCGATAGATTCAGATACCCGATACCCCAAACTTGCATCACTGAAGAGGAAAGTGCCGAAGCTACCCATACCGCCATACGTTGGTCTCCAACGGAACTAGCTGCAATGACATGCAACTCCATTTGATTCGGGATCCGATTTATTCTACTGAAATGGCATAGCTGATCAACAAGATTCTCTGAAACCAAACCATTTACGGAGACTCTGAACCACTGCAAGGCTCGGTGACTTGAATTTACCAAATCATTTACCAATGCAGAAACACCTAATTTTTACACAACCATTGCTTAACCACTACACACAATTATTTACCATTAGGCATTCTGAAAGAACCATCAATGTTTTTTCTTTCTAAATGGAGATGACTCCTCTGTTTTTGAACCAGCTGGTCGCCTGCAAAGCTTTGATGGTGGTGACAGCAACCTGGAGACCAAGAGACATTATTTATGGCGGTTGGAAGGTGGGTGGGAGACGTGTGTCTATGCAACTACGCTATTCATGTGTATATATATATACAAATAGACATGTCATATATGATTTTCCCTGTCCATCAATATCCATCACTATCCATCATATCCATCAGTATCCATCAATATTCATCAATATCCATCAAATTTCAATCAATATCAATCAATATCCATGAAAATCCATGAAAATCCATGAAAATCAATCAATATCCATCAATATCCATCAATATCCATCAATATCCATCAACATCCATCAATATCCATCAATATCCATCAGTATCCATCAGTATCCATCAATATCCATCAATATCCATCAATATCCATCAATATCCATCCATATCCATCCATCCATCCGTCCATCCATCCATCCATCCATCCATCCATTGACCCATCCATTGCTCCATCCATTGCTCCATCCATTGCTCCATCCATTGCTCCATCCATTGCTCCATCCATTGCTCCATCCATTGCTCCATCCATTGCTCCATCCATTGCTCCATCCATTGCTCCATCCATCCATCCATCCATCCATCCATCCATCCATCCATTGATCCATGGATCCATCCATCCATCCATCCATCCATCCATCCATTGATCCATCCATTGATCCATCCATCCATCCATCCATCCATTGATCCATCCATCCATCCATCCATCCATTGATCCATTGATCCATTGATCCATTAATCCATCCTTCCATCCATCCATCCATCCATTGATCCATCCATTGATCCATCCATTGATCCATCCCTTGATCCAATGATCCAATGATCCAGTGATCCAATGATCCATTGATATTGATCCATCCATCCATCCATCCATCCACCCACCCACCCATCCATCCATCCATCCATCCATCCATCCATCCATTGACCCATCCATTGATCCATTGATCCATTGATCCATTGATCCATCCATCCATCCATCCATCCATCCATCCATTGATCCATTGACCCATCCATTGATCCATTGATCCATCCATTGATCCATCCATTGATCCATTGATCCATCCATTGATCCATTGATCCATCCATTGATCCATCCATTGATCCATCCATTGATCCAATGATCCATCCATTGATCCACTGATGCATTGATCCATCCATCCATCCAGCCATCCATCCAGCCATGCAGCCAGCCATCCATCCATCCATCCATCCATCCATCCATCCATTGATCCATGGATCCATCCATCCATCCATCCATCCATCCATCCATCCATCCATCTATGTGTACATCATAGATTTTATACATATGGGGTATACACATCGGCTCGGCATCTACCTCGACGTATGTGGACACTCAGATCTCTCATCAACATCTATCGGCCTACAGTGTTGTAGAGGTCGGATATTTTCGGCAGATGCAGGTGCACCAAGGTTTTTCAAGATAATAAAAATAACATAAAATAACTATCTATTATTTGCTGTAACGTTAATGTGTATGAACATGATATCTTTTATTTTCGGCAGGTGTACCCTCTGGTAAACATACACATAACTATGGAAAATCACCATTTTTTATGGGAATATCCACTATTTCTATGGCCATTTTCAATAGCTATGTTAGTCATTACCAGAGGGTACCTATGTTGATTACATTTAACTGCAAGCACTTCACGGCCAGTTTTCTTCTGTCCTATCAGTTCCATCAATGTTCATCGATCTTCGTGACGGTCAGACATGAACACAGCACTAGGACTAGCAACTCAGCAATTACTGAAAATTTCAAATATGTAATAATAACATACATAATATGTAGATATATATATATAATTATATATATATGGTGTAACAGACCACATTTTCCTGTTATGAATCTATTGAAAAAATATGTCCTGTCAATCAATTCTGTGCCTCGAAGTGTTTTCTGAAGAAATCCTTACGTCCCAAGTGGCAGCATCTTCCTATTTTTCGGAAAGATGGGACGGACTTTCCCTCCATATATTTGAAATACGGGGGTTCCATAGCCATGGGGGGTACCCCCACATGGTTGGTTTACAATGGAAAAACCCAATCTAAAATGGATGATACATGGGGTACCCCCATGACTTATGAAACCTCCATATAAGTAGACAAACAAGCATGAAAATCTCCTGTCAATTCAGTTGGTCAACAAAAATAGGTGGTGACGAATCATCGAAACTAAAAAAACCTTGTGTTAGACTTAAATTTGCAATAGGCCTACCGACTATAAAATTATAAGCCATTGTTGTTTAAGTTCAAATTTATTTTCACAGTCGTGTTTGATGTGTGTTTTTTCTTTTCAATATCTCAACAGTACAGCCCTTTACCACTTATTTCTATTGCTAGCTTTATGGGCTTATCGTCCCACAAATGGATAAACATTTCACTGACTTCTCCTCTGGTAATTTAACATAACTATTGAAAATGCATCATTTACTTCGTTGGTTCACCAAAGATGGTAATTTTCCATAGTTTTGTGTATGTCTCAGAGGGTACATCCCATTAGATCCCATGAAACCACCATAAATTCCCATAAAATCCCATTAAACCACCATAAAATCCCATTAAATCACCATAAATTTCCATAAAATCCCATGAAACCACCCTACAACTGCTATGAATCGGGACAAACATCCCTGGCCATCCGGCACCTGGGATGATGCGCAAAGAGAAGGACCAAGCGACGCGTGCCGTTGAGCTGGCGCCTCCCCGGTGAGCGGTTCGCGTCGCTCGCGTCGCTCGCGTCGCGATCGGGAATATATAGGGTCCTCAGAATATATATATATATAGAGAGAGAGTATGTGTAATGTGGTTAAAACATGTTAAAACAATATCTGGGTAAATTGATCATATTCGGGTAAATTGTAATATCTGGGCAAATATTAAATATATGATGGGTATACAAAATAATATGCCATACATGTGAACAGCTATGATATTATGGGATATTCTATTGTGTATATATATATATATGGGCAATGTGGTTAAAAACAATAGAGAGTGATTGATAGTGATTATAATTCTTGTACTTCTTCAAGTCCGCTTCATCCACAAGTCCTTGAAACAGCAACAAAAGCTTGCATTTCTCCTTCACAGCTGCATTGACCATGCCACGTGAGATGGCTGTCTGTCGCCAAAACGCATCCTTTCTTTTAATTTTTTAGGTCTTCATCAAATCCATGTCCTTCAAGCACCTGCTTGGATGCCGGGAGTCTGATGAAACCTAGTGATATCTGTATATGTACCGTTGAAAAGGTTTAAAAGATGCTTTCATTCGAATGATCCCCACCGTGGCAATTCAAGGCATCTATTCTGCCATATATATATATATAATATGTTGTTATTCATCATACAAGCTGAAATAGGTCACGAGAGATACGGCCAAACTAGGCATGAGAGAAAGCAACAAGAAACCACCAAGAAACCACCAAGACACCTTTTTCATTTTTAATGACTAAACCATCAATTTGTGTGTGCGTGTGGCGAAACAAATGATCAGCCACGGGCTGATGGTTTTTCCGAGCATAGACACACCCATTGTACCTGGTTAAGCCAACAATATCCACACTGTTGTTGGTTAAATCACCGTTGCTTTATTTAAAATGCTTGGCTAAATCATAATTGTTGGTTTAGTAATGTTGCTTAAATGGTTGGTTAGCGTCTGGTAGTTTAACATAGCCATTGAAAATTGATCATTTACAGTTGATTTACCCATAAACAAATGTGATATTTCCATAGTTATGTTAGATTACCATAGGGTAAAATTGTTGCTTAATTCCCCCTCGTGATGGCAAGGCGCCAGAGTGCCAGGAACGCATCTGCACTGCTTGCGAAGGCCTCGAAAAGAAACATGATGAGTTCATGATGAGTTCATGGGAGTTAGGCGGATTTTAGAGACACTGACTGGAACTTAAGCCCAGAGGTTGTGTATTGATGAGATATTTTCAGGGGATTTCCTGATGGATTCTCATGGACTATTGGGATTTTGCTAACTATTATATGATTATATAATGCTGGTTGGTGGTGCAATAACCATCTTGAAAAATATCAGTCAATGGGAAGGATGACATCCCATATATGAAATGGAAAATTCCAACAAATGCTTGAAACCACCAGCCAGGATTCTATGGAAAACTAACCAAATATGTGGGAATGAACAATCAGTAATACGGGGATGCAATGGGGATACAAATGGATAGGATGGTATAATGGTATCATTAACAACAGTCAATATCCATAGAAGGTGGATCTCCCTTGATAGCTAAGGTTGTGCACATAACTATATAGGTTCACAATTTTCTATGATAAATATACCTATACTTCATGGGGGTTACGACGAACTTATAACTGGGGGTCACCTTGTATCAATCAATAGGGAGATGGGGGTGGGTCAAAACCTATTATTATCAATTTTAATGGGCCGAACATCAATTTACCAACTATTTTGGGGTTCACTAGGTGCCAGTGTTTTGACCAATAGCCATATGGATTTTGCGGTTCCCCTTTTGATAAGGAATTTGGTGAAGTATGGATATCCATGCCCAACCTGCCGGAAAAAATAACATCATTTTCACCAACTTCAATTTTCACAAAGGGACTTCACTAAGGCACACCACTAATGTGCTTTTTTTGATGTAACTTCCGCAACATATGGGATTTCATCACCACAAGACAAATTTTCCCACAGCTGGAAAGTCAAAAAATTGTAGGATTTGGCCACCCCAATTTTGGGAATTTCATCAGCAAAACGTGTGGCAAATCTGACCTCTGAGGGACCACGTACAACGTCATGTTGGGTTTAAATTTCATATGTTTTGGGGGTGTATACTCCCTATGGATCCAAACACTGTCTGAGAAGGTACTTAACCAGACTTAATCCCGTAAATCATACCCCAGTCCCACTTCCTAAGAAGGCACGGCCGATCCATAGGGACTGTTGTTTTGTTCATACATCACAGTCACATTCAATTTTTACGAAAAAAAAACATGCAAATAATCTTAAACACCAGACACTATTATGTATACTTACCCTCTGGTGAACTAACATAGCAATGGAAAATCACCATTCTTAATGGGAAAATCCACTATAAATAGCCATTTTCCATTGCTATGTTAGTTCACCAGAGGGTATCAGAAAAACCAAAAATTCTGTGAGATCGGGGGCAAAAGACCTGGCCTAGGCATTTGCTGTATTTTAAGGTCACATCCCAGGGATCAAACTTCGGGATCTTTTTTTTACGCCCAACTGGGGGGCCCCCTTTTACGGGTTCAACAAAAGGCGAAACCTCCACATTTACCCTCTGGTAAACTACCGTAAACTAACATAGCTATTGAAAATCACCATTTTCAATGGGAAAACTCACTATTTCTATGGCCATTTTCAATAGCTATGTTAAATTACCAGAGGGTATGATGAATTATAGTGAATTAGCGAAGAAACGTCTCCAAGCAACTTATCCAACCAACGGTGGACCCAGATAACATGTTTTTGATGACCCAAAGAATCCAAAAAAAATCATGGTGGACTCATGGCAGCCGGAATCATCTTGCAGGATACATCACAGAACTGGGATAGAGCGTCTTAGCATGAAATCCTGCGTGTCTAAGCTGGATGTCTACTGGTCGGATGCCAAAGACATGGCGCAGCCTCGCGGCATGTGGCGGAGATCACTAGCCTTCACTCCGAGAAACAGATGCGAGAAATTCCTCTTGACTATGTGCAGCATATTTCTCCCATTAACGTGCATTGAAATTTCAGAGGGGACAGGCTATAAACACCTCAGGTAGTTTTTATTATTAGGGGGTACAGTATTTATTATTAGGGTTCCCCCTAATACTAAATTTAAAACCCTAATATAAAAACCTATTTTGTTCTATTTCAAAATCGATTAGATTTCCTTTTAAAATCTAATTAAAATATTGCCAAGGGATGGATTTCGAAGCTTTCCCCTGATATTAAATTAACAACCTTAATATAAAATGCTTTTTTTGTTGACCTTAAAAGACGGACCCTAATAAAAAACACCCTGGCGTTGACTAGTTTTTATTATTAGGGGGTGAAACCGTGAAATGGTAGCTTCATTATTTTTATATATTTTTATTGTTTTCTAAAGGGGATCAATTAAAAATCAGATTGGCCAACCTCAAATTATCCAAAATTGGAGACGGACCGTAGTTTTTATTATATGGGGGTTAGTAATAGGAGGAAGGGATTATATGATTCTATGTGAACTATGCTGCAACAGCAGGAAAAAACTGCTTAAATTGCGAAAGATGCCTGTGGCACCTCGTTCTTATTCGCTAGGACCCTCGAGGAAGACATTTGCAACAGAGAAACGCCCCAAACATGTTCAATACACAGTGTCCTTTGCTGCGGAGTTGCGGGTCCGCTTCAACATCTTCTCTGGTTGTCAGTTCAAACCAATGACCCCTTCTGCTGTACTTTGGAGTGGCTTTTCCTTCTCCACAGCCGTCACATGCTGCTAAACATGTGTGGGCCAAGCCTCAGAAATGGTCCGAAACAGTCAAGAGCATTCACGATGCTGACCGCAATGAGAACCCAGAGCTGGAGAGTATCCACCAAACACAGCTCTTCAAGGGGCAAAGTGCTCCAGCACCGTGCAGAATAATTTCGCTTTGATCTAAAATATGGCAACTACCCACCCCTGTGCTAAGCAGTTTGCGAACCCCATGGCTCAGCCAAGTGCCATACCGCACATGTGAATATGGGAAATTGATGTAGTAGCTGTTTCCAGCGAAGTTGCGGCTCATGATGCCTCTCAATCGCCTTCGTCTCAGACTCAGACGTCAGCAAGGGGCTATGGAAATTGAAATCTGACACTGGCATTGTTAATCTATGTTAATCTGCTTGTCGATCATCTCAGGCCCACACAAACAATAATCGAATCTTGAATAGTCCAAATAAAATGTGTTCTTCAAAGATGTTCGATCACCAAAATGACGTACTCAGCAATTTCACAAAATATCGATTCCCAAATCATCTGTTCCCCGTTGTATCCCCATCATCTTCTCATTATATGGTGGTTTCCTGAAATAGGGGTACCTCCAAATCATACATTTTAATGGGATTTTCCATTATAAACCAACCATTTTTGGATACCCCCATTTGTGGAAACCCACATATCACCATTTTCCACCATTATTCACCAGCCATTATTCATCATTATTCACCCTTATTAAGGCTTATTCACCATTACTACCAATCCCCACATATCACCATCGTACCCCATTGGGTACTGCGCCCCCGGGCGCTGGCCAAGACGGTCGAGAGCTGCGCTTCGGGGGCGCAGAGGGCCAGGGGCAACCTGACGCGATCCAATTTGTTTATATATACAGTATATATATATATGTATGTATGTATGTATGTATGTATGTATGTATATATATATATATATATATATGTATGTATGTAATGTAATGTAATGTAATGGTATGTAATGGTATGTAATGGTATGTAATGGTATGTAATGGTATGTAATGGTATGTAATGGTATGTAATGGTATGTAATGGTATGTAATGGTATGTAATGGTATGTAATGGTATGTAATGGTATGTAATGGTATGTAATGGTATGTAATGGTATGTAATGGTATGTAATGGTATGTAATGGTATGTAATGGTATGTAATGGTATGTAATGGTATGTAATGGTATGTAATGGTATGTAATGGTATGTAATGGTATGTAATGGTATGTAATGTAATGGTATGTAATGGTATGTAATGGTATGTAATGGTATGTAATGGTATGTAATGGTATGTAATGGTATGTAATGGTATGTAATGGTATGTAATGGTATGTAATGGTATGTAATGGTATGTAATGGTATGTAATGGTATGTATGTATGAATGAATGTATGTATGTATGTATGTGTGTATGTGTGTATGTGTGTACGTACGTACGTACGTATGCATGCATGCATGTTTATTGGTTATTCAATAGGTACAATATGATTGAAAACGGATAGAACATCTAACATACCTGGCTATGATATCCATTTAATGTATTTATATAATACGATAGATAGTGATTATCTACTCCCCAATCATATTTATTGATATGATATACCCTCTGGTTATTGAACATAGACATGGAAGCAATGGTTAATTTATAGAAAATTTATGATATATTTTGATGAATTACCTGTCAAACGTGAAGATTTTCCATTGTCATGTAAAAAAAAACTGAAGGGTATTGGTTATCATGGGAACATGCTATACTGTATACAAGGTGGGCCCACTAAACAGCTAAGTTGGATTATAACTCCAATAACATCCAATAACTGTTGGGCGACTATAGTCAACAGGGTGTATGAACCGACCTATAACTGGTGGCTAGCATGTATTATGTAGATAGATAGATTCTATCAGATAGATATATATATATATTAATATATATATATACATATTCTATATATATATATATAGAATATGTATACATACATTAATTTTTATATTTATACATGTATATACATATACGTAACTGGGACATAATGTGGACCATAATGGGATATAATCAGGATATCATTGGGAATGTAAGCAACAAGTTGGTCGGCGCGGGTAGGACAAGCATCTTCGCGCCCCCATTAAGTCGGGGAGTTTGATTAGAGGGGGGATGGAATGGGTCTAAAACCAGCCATAACAAATTGGGGGCGATAAAATGATGACATATAAGAGTGATATTCCTTCACTGCAGCATGTCAAGCCGAGAATATGTATGCATGCATGTATGTAATGTATGTAATGTAATGTAATGTAGTGTAATGTTGTAATGTAATGTAATGGAATGGAATGTAATGTAGTGTATGGTATGTATGTATATGTATATATATACAACATGACAAAACTGGGACAAAAAAAGATACCAGTAAAGTGTGTTATAGTTGGATATAGAAAGGAACTTTCAAGGGATAATTTTGCTGGTGTACCATCATGTTCTATCATGTTTGAGTAACCACCCCTCATGTTTGGTTGATTCTTTCCACAACTGTAAACAAATACGGCTTTGTCCGAAAAATGGCCAAAGCCGGTTACCCCAAATCCAGTGCTTTGAATGGCAAAATTGGAGGATACCAATTTTCAGACACATCCACGTGGAAAAAAATCAATGGCTCAAAGCTCAAAAATGCTCAAAATTCAACACATCATTTGGATGGTTCATACCATCTGCGGTCCCCCTATGTCCCCCTTGGGCCTGAACTTCTCATCGACACCCTAATGGTTTTTGTAGCAGTAGAATACGAAAATACGAACAGATTGATGTGGTATATAAACCTTAGAAACCCTATACAATAAATGCTTTGAGTTGTTCAATAGTGGTAAAACTCGGTAAAGCCCAATCCTTTTCATACACCCATCAGAAATTGATAACAAGCTTTGTTGTTTTAGGAAGTGGGCTTCAACCAGCCCTAAAAATTGGATGAACTTGTTTACTCTTAGGTCTGCCACATTGACTCGGTCAAGCTCTGGCAATCTGGCATAATCTGCATGTTTTCCCCAACCCGATGTTGGGAAAATGGCAGATGACAACCCATCATCAAGACATATGTTTCCATGTACCATCTGGTTATTCAACATAGCCATAGAAAATCCATTATAAATGGAGGTTTTAATGGGAAAATCATCTATAAATGGGCCATTTTCCATGGCTATGTTAAATAACCAGAGGGTATATACATATGATATTCCCATCAAACATTGGCATTTCCGACAAAGCCATGGCAATGATTGCTGGGTAACTGGAACAACAACTGGATCAACCCGCTTCTGGATGAGATGATGGCCCATTTCGTAAGCGGGGACAACGGTCCTCCCAGGTCACAACAGATCTCCGGCTGGTTGATATCAGAAGATTTGGATAGATACCCTCTGGTAAACTAACATAGCTATGGAAAATGACCATTGAAATAATTGATTTAGCCATTAAAAATGGCGATTTTCTATAGTTATGTTAACTTACCAGAGGGTACCCCATTTCTTTCTTGGGATTGCGCATTAAGTCAAGACATGTTCAGTCGTACCTCAATATCATATTATGGATTCATATGCACTAGGGTCAAAACATGGTATATGGTCTGTGGTCGTCCATCCCATGCCACGGGAATCTAAACATCATGCCTGGATCTAAATCCCTATGATACAATTCATATTATTCCCATCCCGGACCATCCCATAAATTCTGGGAAAATACACCATTTGTTGACCATGGCACACATAAAAATGTGATGTCCCGCCTCTCAAAGGTATCACAGGCCTGGCTTGAAGATGCTGGAATTCTATCGTTGATCTTTCGTTGAATTCCAAATTACAGTATCATAAGGGTTTAGAGTCTTTTATAGATTAATACTAAGTAATCTATAAATAGTAATTAATCTATAAAGTAATCTATTAATCTATTATAGATCTATTAATCATAAGGGTTTTCACATTTATAGATTAATAAACAGATTATTTTGTGTGGATTCCCATGAATTACGGCAATTACGGGATGACCATAAACCATTGTCCATAAGCTTTTGTTCGGTCACCGGTAATGTTTTTGCATATTGGGACGTCTCAACAGAAATGATGCCAAAAAAAGGGAGTCATCCCCCAAAGGGCGGCGCTGCGAAAACGCCAACTAATATATCATATAGCATATTCAATTTTATACTATACATATATATATACATACACATATATATATAATATGTTTATATATTGTGTATCTAAATATGTTTATCTGATTTTAATGTGTATGTCATATTATGTCAGTATGATGAATATAATATAGAAAACTGAACACACAACATTATAGACTGATAGACCTATAGAACAGTTTGTAACACAGGTCGTGCCCATATATTCATATATTCATATATATATATATAGTCAATGAATGAATGGCTGTCAATCTGGCTGAATTATCATTCACACACCTGAAAATAGCTGAAATGTTGGGCCATTTGGAGATGATTCCTTTAGCCATCATTCCAGTGACGCCACGACGTTAGGTCATTATAATCCATCCAGTTTCATATCTATTGTATAATAACCTGAACAATATTAATAATATCCCATCATCTTCATGTTTCTGAATGTTCTGATGTTTTTGGATGGTGTCCAGATTCATATCTATCACATAATCACATCATCTTCATCCAGAACAATCCCCCCAAAAATCATCTAAACCTCCCAGGCCTCACTGGCGGACGTGAAAAGCAGTTTCGACCTGGCTGGGGACCATCATAAGTTGGGCTTCAAAGTCATGACAATTTGGACAGTTTGATTAGGAAATCATGATAGCTATGGAAAGATGAAAAGTACAATGTTAATGTTAAGTAATCAGTTTCAAATACACTGTTAAAACAATGGGTGAAATAAAGATTATAAAGCTAATCATGAAGTTTGCGATAATGGGTTAATGATAAAAAATGTGTTGAACTTAGATCATAATCAAAATTTCGCTTCTGAACGCGCACACCTACGTAGAAAAATCGGAGGAACCAAACGATGAGGAATGTTGTCAGCTTACAGGGGTTGCTGCTCTGCCCTTTTGTCTTTCAACCATTCTATACACAAGTGATCACAAGTGTTTCACAAGACTTTGCCGTCCGGGGAGGAAGCGAATCTTCCGGTTGTCACTACTGTTAGTTTACGAGCAAAGATGTCTTGCTTGTTCTACACACCGAAAAAGAAAACAAAAAAAAAACAGAAAACATGGAACCCAACCCGGGCTACATCGATCAGCAAAATCATGCTCGTTGACACATTTTTGTGAGTTCCATATGAAATTTCGTGGGGGTACATTCAAGAACTCAACAAAACTTTACCCATTCAAATATGTATGGATATCTAGGGCTTCATATATCTTAAATACGGTTCAAACTCTACTCCAAATTTGCATGTTTTTGAGGGTCGACGGTCGACCAGATGGTCGATATCCGAGTTTCGGCACGGCACCTGAGGTGATCTTGCAGCTGTCGCAGTGAATCCACCAAAGCCTTGCTGGCGTTCGCCAAGGCTGGTGGATCAACCAGGAAGGGGCTAACGGTTAAAGGGGGATGATCACATGATATAACTATATAGTTAGATAATGTTAGATGGGGGGCCTAGTGAAATAGTACAGTTTGAATCAATTTGAAACGAATCTCTTGAACTGCCATTTTCGAAGTATCAATGCAGAATCCCAAATGTGCTGGGAAAATCCCAACATCATAAACTTACTGGTGCTAAACGCAGGGAATGGATGGGTTGCTGGGGGTTGCTGGGATGATTATTGATAGTTGTGGATCATTGCCGAAAATTCCCTGCGTTTAGCACCAGTAAGTCAATAACGCTTCATCTTTGTTGGTTCTATATCCCGATCATATTCCCATTGTTGTTGGTTTATACCCTATTAACCACTACTAATCACTACTAGGTCTTCGGACGTCGTACCAGGTCGTAATCCAATGACCTGTTGACTTTCGAGCCGTCGGATGGGTCAAATCCCACGGCTCGATTGAGGCGTAAAAAGCTGCCGCTTCGTCTTGTGGTTTATTCCACATAGAACGAATGGCTTTTGGTCATTCAAATATAAATAAATATATATATATATATATTATATATTAATATATATTATATCACATATATTTATACCCAAAGATAACGTATTAATGTATGATAACCATTAATATCCATTAATAAGCAAAAAAAGAGGGAAACGTGGTCAATGAATATTGGCAATACGCATGCGTACGTATTCTCTAAGGACATGTTTCTTAAAATAATGGGTGCACGGTACACGTGCGACGAGTTCCATACAAACAATTTCACCCACCTACTGAAGTCAAATCATGTCTGATCTAAGGGCCAAACAAGTGAGACAAAAACGGATAGGAATGTGTATCCCAATCAGTCTTGAGAGTCAATGAAGTAATCTGGTTGGTGGTATACCTACCCATCTCAAAAATATGAGTTCGTCAGTTGGGATTATTATTCCATATCATTCCCATATATGGAAAATAAAAGCCATGTTTGAAACCACCAACCAGTAATGAATTTCTCTATATACAACAGGACTAGCACCCAGCGTTGGCCCTGTTGACATTGCTGTGGCCAAGCTGACGAACTTGTGCAACTGGTGCAATCACACGGTGCTTACACGACTTACCCTCTGGTTATTTAACATAGCCATGGAAAATTGCCCATTTATAGATTCTCTAAGATGGTTTACCTTTTAAAAATTGTAATTTTCCATGGCTATGTCAAATAACCAGATGGTAAATTAACCACACCTGAGCTGTTTGCAGAACGTCGACGAATTCCTGCAAGTAGCAGAACCAACCTGTGGAACACTGCTGTTTCCCAGCCCAAAGTGTCTGAGGTCAGGGATCTCAAACACAGAAAGACACCAGTGAAAACAAACGTGCTGCTGTACTCAAACTCTGGAAATCATAGGTCCTCATAGGTATCTCTGTAAATACATAGTAACTCATTAAACTCATGATATGTATCTGCGCATATATATATACAAGGTGAGGCCTACAAATGATCGGTTTCCACATCTATGCCAGTTTACAGGAGAGTATCATATCATTTCATACCATTTCATATCATATATAAATACAATGAAATTAAACGTGTATGTATAAATCAAATTGTATAATATGTATTCAAATACATATAATTAAATATTTCCCTGACCTTCCAGTTGACTGTGAGATAGGCCGCGAACCCTTGGTAAAATCACCCTGGTTACCTACCTCAAAGGTAACTGGAAGGCTAGGATTCAAATAATACCTTCTTGAAGGTGCAGCTGGTTCCATAGGCTATAATGTATTGAGAATATATATATATATAATATACAGTATTATATTCAGATATATTCAGATATATTCAGATATATACAGATAGATACAGATATGTATCTACCTATCTATCTATCTATCTACCTATCTATCTATCTATATATATATATATAGTATATATCCTCGGAACCTCCAGATTCTGGCCATGGCCGCCTTTCAATGGCAAGTTCCGCCACGGCGTGACCTCGCGGCGCCGCGAACGATTGCCCCTCAAAATCACCCAGTTATGTCGGTAAATATACCAGCACCATGGTTCGCATATGGGTATCATTCCATTTAATCCTGGTTGGTTTTTGAAAAGGGATTCCCCGTTCTTGGATGATTCTTATCCCCAATATATGAAGGGTAGTATAATTCCCGAACCACTCATCAACCAACAGGGGTTTTGAACACTGATCATTTTGCAATCCAAGAGAGAGATTGTGTATATTCACTGTATTTGCAACTCCATATACTGGATTAAAATACATATTTGTATATGTATAGAGAGAGGTTATGTATATTCACTGGATTGTATATATATATATGTATAAATGATTACAAATGTATAGATATATATATATAGACAAATAACTGGGAGTATAAAACCAAGAATAATGCTGAGATCATGTAACCACCAATGGATTAGCGAAAGGTGAACACACATACAGTAAACCCAGTTTTTGCCAAAACGAGTCATGTGTTGGTCCAATCCAGGATTAAACGAAAACAAACTGGAACCCCTTGACATGGCTGTGTGTCCTATTTAGCAAAACCATGCAGCATCGTCATTTATGAGACAGAAATCATCGGTCACATGGGAAATCTCTGATGCTGTAAACCTCCGTGGTTCCGACTTACCTTCCTTTTTTGGTTGCTCAAAGTAGAAAACATGTTCTCGTTGGTTGTAATGTGTATTGTATATATCCCCATTCGTCCCATCCCATGTTTTTATTTGCTGGGGATGAAAACACATATTTGGGACCACTTCTGGGGGGGGATTGAAAATAGGCACATGGGATGGTACACTCAAAACGATCAGACTATCAGTGTTCGGGGTCGAACTCTTCATTAGATCCCATTCAAGCTTCGTTTTTGATCATTACCATCTGGTTATGACTAACATAGCCATGGTATAGATGGCCCATTTATAGATGATTTTCCCATTAAAACCTTTTATAAGGGATTTCCCATGGCTATGTTAAATAACCAGATGGTAGTGCGTTTCATGGGATGACATATTTCACCCAAACATGTGAGTTAAGGGGTTGCTCCAGCTGATCCACCGCAGGTACATGAAATGATGGCCACTTTGGGGGGATCATGTTGTCATTGTACATCTATATTTACACAATGTTCCCCCCGTTGTATCTGGTGCTGGGAGCAACCCTGGCAATGTGAATAAATAATGATAAATTGATACATATCATATCAGATATCATATATCGTCAGCTCAGGTGTGGTTAATTTACCATCTGGTTATTTAACATAGCCATGGAAAATCAGCATTTTTAATAGGTATACCATCTATTTCTATGGGCCATCTATACCATGGCTATGTTAGTCATAACCAGAGGGTATATCCCCATTGTATATCCATTTGAGTTGCATGAATTAAATGCCCACGAAATCCCCATGTTTATGAGTTAAATCACCATTTTTATGAGCTAAATCCCCTTGCTGCAAACCCATTTTAGTTGCTTAAATCCCCATGTTTAGTAATGTGGGTAAAACAATAATAATAATTCATCCCCAAATCACCATAAATAGGTGGTATAAACTGTTCCCAAATGGGTGGTTTATTATTGTTTTAACCACATTAGATGAAACCACATGATATCACCATGAAAATCCCATCCTTTCCACCCTGAGATTATCACCCAACAGCCCGCGCAAAGACTTGGCGACGGCAAAGCTGCTTTCGACCGCGGCCTTGGTGTAAAGCAGGCTGGATCGACTCAAACATATCATATCTGTAATTTATATGTATATATATATGTATATATAATATTCATCCCTATGGATCCAGCCGTACCTTCTTAGGAAGTGGGACTGGGGTATGATGACTGGGGGGTGTCTTGTGCCTTCTTAGGAGGTGTTTGGATCCATAGGTTCTATCTATGTACATGTATATATACATTTATGTAAATCCAGATTTATGTGATATATGTACATAATGATATATCATATGTAGTATATGTTGTTAAATCATACCCTACTATATTATATGATATTTGATTGCAGTATATTGTATTATACTATACTATATTGTCTTATGCTAATGTATACATGTATTTAGTATGTTAAGTCGTTAAGTAGTATTCTGTATGTATACAAATATGTAGTATATATGTAGTATACAAATATGTAGTATATATATCATTCGATATAATACAATATTCAATAAATAATATAAATGAAAACATATGGTTCATGATAAGCCTATTTACTGATATCCATAAACTGATAACCATCTATAAACTGGTATTCAACCATCTATGATGAGAAGACCAACTTACAATATCAGTTCTATTCATATCTGGTTGGTGGTTTCAACCCTCTGAAAAATATGAAAGTCAATTGGGATGATGCCATTCCCAGTATATTAAAAATCCTGTTCCAAACCACCAACCAGATATATATATGTATATGATAAATCGTGATTTTCCATAGTTATGTTAGTTTACCAATAACCATATATTATACCATAATATAACCATATATAGTTCTATTCATAACCATCTATAACTGATAACTGATAAAGGGCTTTCATATAACCGTCGAAGGTCCCCTATGACCCTGGCTGCGAGCTGTGCCAGGGCAGCTTCTGGTCGGCGAGGCCCTGCGATGTCAAGGTGGGGAGCACTCATCACCATTGGGGTTCTACTTTTTTTGGGATTTCATGGGACTGAGGTGATTTATACCATCTGGGTAAATTCTGATCACACTTCACCAATCTAAATTAAGGCCATTTGGGGATGTTTTCCCTCATTTACTCTAATTCCAGGGTTCGGGAGACCAGTGAGGTCTTCTTAAATTTACCCATATATAACCCATAGGATCCATGTATGCTATATATGGTAACATTTACCATCAATATACCCCAAATGTTAGCATATATACCATACATGGATCCTATGGGTAATGGAATACGGAATAATAGTTTAATATAGTTTACGATTAAAGCTGATTGAATGGGATTTCGTGGCCCAAGTTGGATTTCGTGAATCCAATCATTGTGAAAATGCTAGATTTAACATGATTTAACTATAGTCAATAGGGATCAAACATCACTGGGGAAACCCATCGTCTGTAGGATCATTGGTTCAACCAGGGACTCGACCATCCTGATTGGGCCGTGTATCCGTGTCCTGTATATTGTGCACGGGCTGTTTCAAATGATAAAGAAGGGTCCAGTAAATGCCATGGTTCAAATCTGGATGATCCCAATTGTTTCTTTACTGAAACTCTGACCTTGTGGAAGACCTGGCAGAATCAAATCCATTGGATACATCCGATCTTCAGCTCTTTTTCGGCCACCCAAAGAACTATTAACGGAAAAATCATACCTTTTGGCTATTTAATATAGCGAACTGGAAACTTCCTGAACTAAATGGTAATCTCATCGGGAACATTCTCTATAAATGGGCAATTTTCGCTATGTGAAGTTTAAGATCAACCCTGGAGAATTTTCCCCGCTGGGCACACAGATCGAGGACACCAAAAAAAACACAACCTTCACTCCCATCCATGGAACACCACCATGTTTAACAGGAAAATAACCTGTGTTCCATAACAAACTGATAAATTAGCAAACGGATAAAAGAGATCCTGAAATAACAGTGTACTTAGGACCCCCACAAGAATGGGTAATGATGGGTGGAACCACTGTTATACTTCTACCACTCACTGTTCACATCAAAATAGCATGAATCAAAGTTCATCATCCGAACACAAAATACCAGTACCCTGGGGTAAACTAACCTAGATGTGGAAAACCTATGGCTTCCACCTCGCAACAATAATCTACATTCATGTCCACATCTATGGAAGTTTACCCTTGAGTATATCATAGAATTACCCTCTGGTAAACTAACATACGACGGACAATCAACTATTTCTATGGTCATTTTCAATAGCTATATTAGTTTACCCTAGGGTATATCATAGTATAGGTCTGAACCCGTCCCCAAATATCCCGCAATTGGGAAACGTTCTTCAGGTTAAAAACCTCATCCGAACTCGCCCACAGGCCACCTGTGCCACCTGTGCCACTGCGGCGCTCACCGTCCTGCTCAGGCGCTATTTTTCAGGGGCATACTTGGTGGTTTACCCTAGTTAGTAAGTGGGCTATAACATGTTATAACCCCAGTTCTTAAGCAGGAAAAGTAGGTTTAAGGCCTGGAGTCTCCGTTTGCCCGGAATGCAGTTCATGACGACTTGAGGAAGAACAAAACACTGTGGTAATTCTCGTGCAAAATGACTCTATCACCATTAAAATAAGAACAATGACAATAATAATGATAATAAAAATGATTATTTATATATATATATATATATCTCATTATATTATATGTAATATATGATATGGTTCTGTTTGTGATCGAAAATGGATTAGCGATTTGCTAGTGCTGCTTTTGGGCCTTCGAAAACTCGTTTTCCAAATTCCCCAGTGGGGCGAATGGCACCGAGCCGTTCGGCTTACTCCATGATTGGGGTTAGAATCTACCAATTGGGGTGAACCAAGAATATACACCTAAACTACTATGAGCAATAACAGGACTTCTACAGAAAGTTCATCTTGGGTCCCAATGGAGATCTACCTGGAGGACACTCAACTACTACTAACTACTGGAAAATTTAAGAGCCTTCTTCGTAATTCCCCTGGGGTAACGCTAATATCAACGTGGCTTATAACTTACAATCCATTTGACCAAACAGTTACGATCCATGGGATGATCCTCCTCTACAAATGGTATAATATGCATAGATAAATATATATATATATATAGAGAGAGAGAGAGATGAGATACATTATGTATATATATATACACACCTTTCCAGAATCCCATGACATTACCAATATAATATATTTCCATGATATTCCCAATGATATTCCCGTTGTATTCCCTATTGAATCACCATTTTGGCTAGTTCACCTACCATCTCTGCGTCTCCCCACAGACGAAGACGCGCTGGGCGAGACGGGAGCAGCAGAAGAGTAGAGGGACCTGCCGAATGGCTATGCAAAGGGTGGCGTAATAGTGGTTTACAGGGGCTTAATGATGATTTCATGGTAGTTTCATGGGTGTTTCATGGGGCTTATTCATCGATGCATCTAATATTGTTATATCTACATAGATAGTAAGAACCAAAGAGATGGAAAAGTGAATTGTTGCTGATTTACAGTTCTATCTCTTTGGGAACGACGATAAAATTGTTATATATGCGTATACGATATTTATAATTTATTTACCCTCTGCTAAACTAGCATAGCTGTGGAAAATCACCATCTTTAAAAACGGTAAATCAACTACTTCTATGACTTCTATGCGCCATGGCTTCAATAGCAAACTGTTAAATTACTAGAGGGTATATGTACATACATAGATAGTTTAATCCCATATCTTCATCCTCAAGTACCCACATATTCCATGAATGAATAATGGCTATTGATCTGGCTGAATTACAAGAATGCACTCACCTGAAAATGGCTGAAATGTCGGGCCATTTGGGATGATTCCGCTTACTAACCATCATGCCAGTGAAGTCACATTAAATTATAATTAATCCAAATGTTGTATGTATATATATATATGTATGTATATTAAAAAGTAAGCCCCTAAAAGATGGAACCGTTAATCTTCACGACCTATATAAATACGGATTTATTGTTCTATCGTTTTGATGATAACAATATATCATGTAATTAGACTGAGTTGCTTGTATATATGTGCAGTTTCAGTATTGTGACATATACTATCTACTCCAGGATGACCATATGTATGTATATATATATGTACACACGCATATATATATAGTAATATAGTTGATATGTACATATAGTTGACATTGTATGTATATATATATAGTTGATATGTATATATATATTTATCATTATATATTTACAGATTGGGATAGGACAAATTGTATATAACGGGATATAATACGAAGCCTCAACGGATTGGTTTTATAGGGAAAAATATGTTGAGGTTTTACCAGTTTTTTTTAACCAGCACATATCAGGCTATTCTTGTAAACCCTCCATGGTTCAGGGTGTTTTTTTCTCAAAATAGCTAACTAGAACCTCCAGTTGTGGCCAATTACTAGTTTTAAGTCAGTTATGACTCCAGTTTTCTTTTTTATGGAATGATACACCTGTTTATAACCATTTATAACTGGTACTGTAAAAACGCTTTTAACCGTGGCGATTTCCCGGCAATAAGCTGTGGGTATAATCCCATTTTCAGTCACACCGAAACCATCTTAAGTTGGCTTGATATGCATATATTGTATGTGTATATATATATATTATCCCATCATATATACCCATGGAAATCCCATAAAAAAAACCATAAAATCACCAAAAAACATCTGAATTTCCATGAAACTCACTCCAAAAGAATGGGGATTCCACCCATCAAACATCATTAAACGTTCCGCCCCTTGCCGTCACCTTGCCATGGCTGCTGCACTTCGGTCTCTGCTTGTATCTGACGCTGCCTCCGCGGCCTGAAGCAAGGGTGATTTCGTGGAAATGGCATGGTGATTTAAAGGGATTTGAACGAAAATTAGAAAAACTGGTGAGTCATGGTGATTCCATGATGGTATAAACCAAATGATAAAATGCTGAATTTAATGGGATGTACCATGGGAATTATAGCATAATGGGACATACGCATATACATACGCGACCAACTCAATGTGATTTGGGCGGGTCTGAACATGTGGGGTATACAGGTATACCACCCAATTTTTCCTCCAATTTTGCTGGGGACACATTTTGATTCACCCCTGGATGTAGGGTTCTTTCAGCATTTTTTTCAGACCCAGTTAGAGTTTTAAACCATCAACACCTGCTCCATCCATGCTGGTACTATTTACCTATACGACTGGGTTCCAGGTGATTTCTTTAAATGTTGGTAAATACTCCATCCATGGAGCATAGACATGAGATTTGGCCCGTGGCTTCAACCAACGAGAGTGTTTTTATCTGACAGTCATATAGATATCCTGGACCATGTAGCCAGCAAATCTGGTATGGGTCAAACGTTTAAAGCCATGAAAAAGGAGATGGTTGCAAGTTTCACTATTTTTGAGCATAATGAGTTTTTTTTTTATTTTGAATCAGCACACAGTCATACATGAGACAGCCCCAGGAAAGAGGTTTTTTAAGACCGAACCATGCTAACTAGAGACTGCAAAACCCGCTGTTGTTGGTCACTGCTGATTTTAAACCAACCACTTTTTCAGGATACCGAGTTCTGATCCATGAAAACTTGCCAATGTGTAATGCCGAATGAATATCAATGGAGCTTTGACCATACTCAGGACTTGTAGCATTTTATCGCAAGCAAACTGTTGGGACAAAACAAACTGTTGGAAGAACTCCCAAATCTGACTAGTCAGTTGTGTTGCAACGCAAGAGAACTATAGCGAAGGCCCAAACTGTGTGTGTGTGAGATTACTTGAGAGCAAGGTATCAGAATAATTACCCTCCAGTAAATTACCGCAACTATGGAAAATCACCATTGTTTATAGGTAAATCATCTTTGAGTGGCGATGTTTCCACAGCAAACCTCTTCGTTGACCGGCAATGCCCAACAGCAACTGTCTGACAGGACTGGCCTCTCTGGAGCTCTGCGTCAAGAAAAGGGTGCTGACCATTGACCTTGAGCTGGGCTTTATGCTGATTCTCCCAGTATGGTACCCTCTGGTAAACTAACACAACTATGGAAAATCACCATTTTGAATGGGAAAATCAACTATAAATGGCCATTTTCAATAGCAAACTGTTAGTTTACCAGAGGGTAATTCATAGGTCACTTGACCCCCATATGAAACTTTCAGGAGCTTCCTGCATTTGCTACATCGGCGGAATCAGGTTATATTATGTTGTATTATTCTCATGGCTGAAGAAGTATGTTCCAGGTCACTAATGGTACTATATGTTTATGGTACTGTATATGATGGTATATGATATGATATATCGTTTGTCATGTTGATGCACTTGTTGAACATGTACCAAACGTGGATAGCCCGCGGAACATCTTTTTTTTTTTACTGGTGTCCTAGTTAATATCACCTGTCCCCATGTCCATCTATGGCCCTTTGGTACGTATTCCATCAACCAATCCAACAAAGATTTAACAGTCACTTCATATCAGATTCCCATTTCTATCATAGTTACTGTTACTATATTATAGGCTATGTATTAGGCTATGATCATATCATATCATATCATATCATATCAGCATCAATCTATCTATCTACCTACCTATCTACCCTCTGGTAAACTACCATAACTATTGAAAATCACCATTTTTAGTGGGAAAATCCACTATAAATGGCCATTTTCAATAGCTACGTTAAATTACCAGAGGGTATCTATAGAACACACTGCACCCGCTTGCGGCGCCAAGTTGCGCGATGGCCCCACAGCGGAGCAAGCGTCTCTGCTCGCTGGAGGGGCCCTGGAGGCGCAAGGAAATGAAGGAATGGGGGGAGATAGGAAATACCCTCTGGTCATTTCCAATAGTTACCCACTGGTAATTTGTTACATAGCTATTGAAAATGGCCATTTATAGTTGATTTACCCACTAAAAATAGTGATTTTCAACAGCTATGTTGGTGTTCCAGAGGGTAATGGTATTTAATAGTTAATGGTATTGATGGTGGAGTATACTATTCATGGGAGATGGTAAATACCGTTACCCTTCGGAGATGGGAAATACTATGATAGTATCACTGGATTGGTTGAAGGGAAAATCTTAACCGGAAAGCATGGTTTTTACCATCAATATGGGGGTGTCCTGTAAATGTTCCCTTAAACCAATCCAATGATAGGAAATACCCTCTGGTCATTTAACGTAGCTATTGGAAATGGCCATTTAGGTTGTTTAACTATAAACAATGGTGATTTTCCAGTCATGTTAGTTTACCAGAGGGTAACATGCCTAATATGGTATTGATAGTATTTATGATATCCATAATAGTGATTCATCACTGATAATCATGGATCATGGGATAATGATGTAATTATTAACATAACGGGATAATCCATCACTAATAACAATATCGATCTTTTTTTTACTAAAAACACATTAACTAAGAACATAATAAGGTATAGTTAATCTTTGATAGTTAATGTAATGGTATAAAAAAAAGATGCTATCACTAATAACATAATCACATTCTATTAACAACCACTAATAATCATGGATCATAGGGATACTTATCATGGATAATCCATTTCATGAAAGAATCTTGAAATGGGATGGATGATATCCATGAAATTGATAGATTACTATGAAACAATAGTGTTTAATGATATCCATAGTGGGATAGTTCATGGAATAATCATTCAATCACTGAAATCCTTCATTTATCCATAGTTAATAACGGATAATTATTCATAGTTAATGATCCATAATGGAATAGTCAATGGTATTAATGGAATCGCTATTATAATCTCTAAAATAGCTCAACTAATGGGAAGTTCATAGTGATGAAAAACACATGGATGATTATCCCATCAATATTGTTCGATTCAATGATGATCTCCAATTATGGTTGTTCATAGTGATTAATTTTCAGTATGGATCATTAACAATCACCACTAACTTGAAAAGAAACAGTAGATAGGAAATTACTTTCACTAACCTCTGGTAAACATACACATGACTATGGAAAATCACCATGGTAAATCCACTATTTCTATGGGCCATGGCTTCCATAGCCATCGCCGTTAGTCGTTACCAAAATTGGTATAGTCTTGATGGATTTTTTTACCGTCATCCCCGGATGGAACAGTAAATTGTCATCATCAAATTACTAGACAGTTTATCAATGGCCATTTCAGGAACCGATTGATTGGAGGTACCTACCATATATAAGGCCTATGTTTCAGGCCTAAGTTCCCCCCAAAATGTGGCCTGAAATATGGTACTAACGTACCTCGATTTTAGGATCCTGGAATTCCCATTGAGTTTACTGTTCCATCTATTTGGGGATGACTATATATATAATATATATATAATATATATATAATGTATATATATAATATATATATAATATATATATAATGTATATATATATAATATATATAATGTATATATATACAATATATATATAATATATATATAATATATAATATATATATAATATAATTTATCTTACTGGTGCTTAGTAGGGAATGGATTGGAATGGGGGAATGGGATTATTATTGATTGTTATTGTGGATCATTCCCCCATTACTTAGCAACAGAAAAAGTTACGTATTCGACTGTCAATGGAGTATCTTGGACTTGTTGAACCCAAATACTCGACCCAAATCAATCTGATTTATGTAAACGATATCCTTTATTCAGCATCGTTGTGTTTTCAAGCTTTCTTGCATGGAACATATAGATCATGTTGACTGAAGGCGAAAGTTCAGTTTTACAGCTGACATTGAAACCATTTTTTTTGGTCTATGGCAGTCTTGGAATATACCCTCTGGTAATTTAACATAGCTATGGAAAATGACCATAGATATAGTGGATTTTCCCATTAAAACTGGTGATTTTCTATAGCTATGTTAGTTCACCAGAGGGTAAGCCACATGGCCAGCACCTTTCTACTTCCGTCTAGAGATTGCTTTTCGGGAATTTCAAGCAAGCCCTCGAACCATCTGGAAGCTACAGATGTTGGGTGATTTTTTGCAATAGGCATACTATACCACATGGATACTAATATTGATCCCATAATATATGTGTATACATATACATACACATACATATATATATATATATTACATATATATATATATACATATATATATATATGTTACAAAGTACATATTGTGTTTTCATGGATATCCATCTTTCACCAAGATCATCAACTTGTCAACGGCACCTTGAGTTGTTCCAACAGCACGCGCAGGGCCTGGGAAGTTGCTGGGTCCTTTTGCGAATGCTATGGGACCATCCCATTGTTGCTGGTTTATATACCACCGTTGATACCGTATTCACCACCGTTTACCCTCTGGTAAACATACATAACTATGGAAAATCACAATTTTTAATGGGAAAATCCACTATATCTATGGTCATTTTCAATAGCTACGTTAAATTACCAGAGGGTATGGTAAATTTGGGAATGGTTTATTATTGTTTGAACCACATTACATCGTACTTTAATGTACTTTAAAGGGTGCATCGCGGCTAGTAGCTGGGTAATACCCACATTCTACCACACCTATGCATGAAATCTGCCCGGTTCTATATGGATTGTAAACCACTTACATCCATGGCTAATACGAGATGCGAAACATTGGAATCCTTCTGGGCTGTTGAGTTTTGAAGTGCAAGGAAGATTGTGTCCGGGACTTCTGGTAGCTGACAAAGGACAAGAGGGAAACAAACATGAACACAGTGAAACCACATATTATTGGCTCACCAACGAACTCAGCAGCAAATTTGAGATCTCTGCGAAGAAGCACCCTTGGCAAATTACTGACCCAAAATAGAGGGTTCTTGTCAAAAAGAACATGGTCTTTGCGATGGGGTCAACAATGTTTGAAAGAAAGATGAACAGCTTCCAAGAGGCACTATGAATTGATCCTACTGTTTGGTTGATAAATGCCCAGAATGATTGAGTGTATTTGTTTAAATGGAATACGAGTACTTCCACAGTGATACGTTTGACTATAATGCTGGGATAGAGTACAATGGGATAATATTGAATAGTCATGATAATAATTAAAGTCAAAAATCACAATCCATCATCATCGCACGAACATTAAACACATTCGATTGAGATTATCCTCCCCAAGTTCCAGGAGGCACCTGCCATAGCAATGGCTCCCAATCCGGTACGGCTCGGACTGGCGCGGCAGCTGCCCGATAATTATGCTGAAAGGGGAAATTTCAACACAATCAATATTCATTTGTATTGCTACTATTATGATTTGAACAAACTTCTCCTATTGTAGTGTTTCAATATACTTTTTTTTTTACAATATTCTGTTGTTATCTGGTCACAAGTGTAAGCTAGACTATATTCCGAAGAGAAACCAGCGTAGACCAACCCCACATTTTCTCTCGGTAGCGCCATGGACATAGACCTGACAATACAATTGATCCAAGCACTGTAGCCATGTAGACAGGCGACATATGTGACATCCCCACGTGATATCCACATGGTGTTCCCATTATATCACCATGATGTCTCAATTTGCGGTATTCTGTGGCTGGGTTTATATCCCAATTATCCCTATTTATGGTTAAATCGATTGGCGCAAACATTTGCTTGCCCTGTCATGCAGTCATGCAGCATCAAAAGTTGGTGATGATCACCGATCACAAAAAAAGGGGCTGAAAATGCGTGAGGTGGCGAAACAGGCAAAAACTGCTGACCCCAAAACTATCAGTTTTTGAAATCTGTCGTTCAACTATTCATTTTGTTTGTGCTCGGAAATCAAGAATGGCAAAATGAAATCAGACATGGAGATTTTGAATAGGAAAATCAATGAAATCCCCATAAATCCCCCTTGAAAATGGAGGCTTTGAATAGGAAAATCAATGAACATCCTATAAATCCATATTTTGCTGATTTGAAATCGCTCGAATTTTTCCGCATCGGGATCCCATAATAAACCTGACCCGGTTCTTGCATTATTTTAAAAATAATGCAGTTAGATGCATATGTGTAGTAAATATATACACACACGTCTATATATATTATATATTATATATATATTATATATATTATATATGTTATATTATATGTATTATATATTAAATATTATATATTATATATATATTTAATTTGTTTAAATGATATATATATAAACATATTCATACTATAATGTTTTTTTGGGGATATCACCTGCTTAGAATACCATTGGTGGAGCCAGGGTGGGTTTCATGACCGTCAACCTCCCGGCAGAGCCAGTTTCGATGTTTCGCCTGTCGGCTCTTCGAAATCTTCACTTTCGGCCTTTGGTTTGTCCTGCCATCGACTGAGGTTTCCAACTCAATAGCCTATATGTGGGGTTTAGTAATGGTTAATAAGCCTTAATAATGGTGAATAATGGTGGAAAATGGTGATATGTGGGTTTCCATAGTCATGGGGGTGTCCAAAAAAAGGATGGTTTATAATGAAAAATCCCAATCAAAAATGAATGATTTAGGGGTACCCCCATGACTTAGGAAACCTCCAAATGGTTTCAGCTTCAACATGCCATGACAAATGACCAACCTGAGTATCCTCCGGTATTCAAAAGTGTGTTTTGGGGGATTTCCCAGCTAGCCATGTTGGAATGTCTCCTGCTCCATCAGTGCCAGCACAGCACTGAAGGACTCCAGGTCCTCAATGTGGATCATGGGACACTGCAGTTTGTTCAATTTAAACAACGTCTCGGCAAGAAAGTGGCAACAAATTTTAATAGAACTGTGGTTCCAAAGATCTGTAGAGTCTGTACCTCACAATTTCCAACTCTCCAGTAGTTTAGGCTTTCTTATAATATCCTTTGGATGATTCATGATAGATTCGAAGCCCAAGCAACGCCCTTGCAACGCCCTTTTTGATGATTTGCACACATGTCCGAACAGATTGGTAGTCACTATCGATCATCCTCCTCCTCGTCCTCATCATCATCATCATCATAATCATCATCAATATCAATCATCCCACTATTTCGAGCGGGGTATCTATAAATCTGCAAAATAATATATGCAAGCAAACCCAACCAGGATTGATTCCCCAAACCATTGCAGAATTTGGGATGTCCCATGATCCAGAAAGTGGTGTCCTTTCACCTTCCAACATATTGCAATCATTTTCTATGATTTTTAGATATTTATAGTGTGCTGCTCGTGTTTTCTTACAATCATGTTTTAGGCTTCTATTATTCTATTATTACAATTATTGCTACCATAATATGTATCATCATACACTTAGATGAGAGGGACCTCATGGGGGGAGCGCTTTTTGACTTGTCAGAAACGCATTGTGAGCCTTTGTCTTTCCATGATTCTCACAAAACGAACAACTAACAGATGCAATCATGTTCCGATCTATATCGATCTATGGGGCTACACGTTCCCGCCAGTTTCTGTTTTTTTTCTTTCATTGCCCGTGCAAGTTTGCGCATCTAGTGGTTTGTTTTTGATTAGGGGAGCTGCTGGTGACTGCGCTGGTTTGGTGACTTTGGCCTCACAAAACACACAAACGACAAAAATCACCAAAGAAAAGATCTTCACCAGGCCCGGGCACAAAAACAAAGAATATAACAATATATAACAATATAACAATCCATGGTGGTATTATTTGTTTCTGACTGATTGCTGAGTTTTTTTGGTGCCTCAAAAAAGCTGACCGGTGAATCGCTGGAAACCCCGGTGAATCGCTGGAAACCCCATGGTGGCGTCCAAACAGTACGGTACTACGGTAAAAAAAAAGGTGGGGCCTCCAATAATTTACGGTACTTGTTGGTTTTATACCTTCCATTATAGTTTTGTTGGTTTATACATTCCATTATGGTTATCAAGTAACTTGGGTTTTTGGATAAATGATAAAGCAATGTGTGCTGGTTCTTCAGATCTCTTGGTTTGTATCTACCATAAATTCCATAAACTACAAAATTCAGCTGGAGGTTTCCTAAGTCATGGGGGTACCCCAAATCATCCAAGTTGGATTTTCCACTATTTATAAACCATACATGTTTGGATACCATTTTTATGGGGATCCTCCAGGAAAAGAACCCCCTGTGACTTGGTACTTGTAGCCCAAGATTCTCCGGAACTGGTGGTCAGCCCCGTGAGCCCGCGGAGCGAAAGGAGCAGAATCAGCAACAAGACCTGGTGAAATTACCATACTTATCATATATAGATAATTATTGAAGAATATCAATGGGAATTTCAGGACCCTAAAGTGACTTTCCGACTTTCCCATACTCCTTGCCATATTTTCAGGAGTCTTTGGGGAAATTTAATGAAAAATAGGACCCATATGATATGTGATGATATGGTAGGTACCTCCAATTTAGGTACCTGAAATGGCCATTGATGAAACCAACAGCACGAACGGTTTGGGGTACGAGTACAGAATGGAGAGGGACTCCTAGTGGTTGCATAATGTTGTATGTTGATATATATATATAATCATCCTGGAATAGATAGAATATGGAATTTCAAACGTCCTCAGACAAAAAAATGAAAATTTTGATATTCTATCTACTTCAGGATGATAATATATATATACACATAATATACATTCAAGCAAGAATCATATGTATTTGTATATATAACATAACAGGGATAGGATAATATATACGGGGACATGATGGGTTTATTGGAATCTTAACCAACCAACCATTGTAATGGGATGACAATTGTATAGAATATAGAACCAGTGAAATCTGAAATGATCATGGATTTGTCACTGGACAATGAGCTGGGGTGTTATACCATGCAAATATATATATATAAATAGACACTGTACACATAATATGATATAATATGTAGAATTGGGGTATAAAACCAACATCATTGGGACTAACTTGTAATGGACATGGACACCAAACACTCAATGGCTTCGTGCAAGTGATCTTTAGAGGCTTTTGCAATAGGCCTAAATTTCCTGCAGTTCTGGGAATCACATTGAACCAGCGGGTATCTAAGGGTTAAATCGATGAACATCGGGCTTAAACATGTTTCAACATTCGAAAAACCCTAGTACAAACATCATCCATGGGATGTAGCGACATCATATCATTAAAAGAATAGGGTGTATATATATATATATATGTATATATAGATATATATGCTGAATGCCACAAAACACGTGCATGCAACAGTCTGGGATTACAATTATTACAATCCCAAACAAAAAACACATCATGAAGATTTTCATGAATACAGAATACATTTAAAAAACAGGGGTACATCATCTCGCAGCCGTTTTCGGGGGTTACCCCAACATGCCACTGTGTGTCGGGATTACAACAATGGGAAGCGAAATGGCGAAATGGGATGATCTTGGATATCTTGGATCGTTACCCAAAAACTCACCAACAACTCAGAGGAAACTAAGTTGTTAAACTGCGACTCAACATGAGAACAACCTTTGGAAGCGAAGGAAAAACTCACAAAAACAAAAACGAACTGGTCAAGTCCTTGGTCCCGAGAGGCCAAGGTGGTGAGCACGTGGAACCTGAGCAAAACGGATGAACCGTGGACCTTTTTTTGAGAAACATGAAGAAATACAGAGTTGGATGGGTCATGTCTGGAATTGGGAGTTTTAACATGTGTATAATGTTATGTATACACCCAACAAAAAGGCAAACGATTCACTTTCTCCACCAAAGTGATCCTCCACAATTATCCAAAGGTCATTGTGTATTTGTTTTTTATGGGTACTGTATCTATAGTTATGATGTTCCATGCACGGCCAGCAGTAAAATCTCTTTGAACGTTGGTTGCACTGCCAAGTCGATTGATGATATGGGGGTTCAACTACCCGTCACATATTGCACAGTATGATAATCCGCCTAGAATCCCGTTCTCAACCATCCAGTTGTCATATTAACTGACTGTTCCATAAAATCTTCAAAATGTTCCACATTTATTTCTCCATATGAGCAGAGTTAAAACACTCTGTCGGGTTAATACGATTTATCAGTTCATGGATTGTGACAATCAGCAATATATTGGATAAACATAGTAAAACCAACTACAATCATCATCCACTCATCACCCACCAGGGGGTTGGAACACTGCTCACATGGTTTTTACCCAAAAAACACCATCAACTGGTGGATCTCTGGTCTTAGAAGAGTTGAAAAGAATGATATTAGCGTTAGGTTAAAGTTACACGGAATGTGGTTTAAAAAAGAAAACTGCTACCCTCCTGTAAACTAACGTAGATGTAGAAAACCTGGCAAACCCTGAATGTAGATCATGTTCCGAACGAGTCTTCCCATATCCACATCTTTCTGTAAACGTTGATCCTAGGGTAAATCCCATAGAAATAGTATTACCCTCTGGTAATTCAACATAGCTATTGAAAATTGCCCAGTCGAAATAGCGGATTTACCCATTAAAAATGGTGATTTTCCATAGTTATGTGTATGTTTACCAGAGGGTAATCGCCATTTGCCATTAGATCCCATTAAACCACCATAAATTCCCATTAAATCCCATTAAACCACCATAAATTCCCATGAAACCACCATTAAATCACCATTTCATTTACCTGGTTCCCAGATGTTCCCAGCTCCCAACTCGTCTACCGTTCCGTGCACGTTCCAAGCGGCATATCTCCTGACAGCTCCGGCTCCGTCGCCTCGCATGATTCGATGGCGAATCAACCAAGAGAATGTTAAAAAAAAATAGTAAAATATAACATAATATAATATTATATATATATATTAAAAATATATTATAATTTAATATAATATGGTAAAATATAATATAATAACATATAATATAATATAATATCATATCATATATAATATAATAATATCTAATATAATAATAAATAATATAATACAATAAATAATATATTAATATCTAATATAATAATAAATAATATCATGCAATAAAATAATAAAGTATATAAAACATATTAAAAAAAATATATATAATATAATAAACATATAAAATATAATAGAAATAATATAATATAATATGATACAGTAAAATAAAATATAATAATACAATATATAATATAATAATAAAATATTAAATGTATTTATATATTAAAAATAATTAAAAAACAATACGCTATAATATAATATAATAAAATAAAAATAAATCCATATAATCAAAAAAAAATAAAATAAAATAAAATAACATAATTTAATATAATATAATATAATAATATATAATATAATATAATATAAAACATAATATCTAATATCATATAATATATAATATAATATAATAAAACATAGTATAATATAATTTAATAAAATATAATATAGTAATAAATAATATATAATATAATTTAATAAAATATAATAACATTTAGTATAATATAATTATATATAATATAATATATTATAATAAAATACAATATATTATATTATATATATGTGTGAATATAACTGGATGTAACTGGATTTGACTGGAAATAAACGTTAGATTGGAAGTCACCAATGGTAATAGTTAGATGGGATGATTAGGTTTCCAAAACCCCTGGTAGACTAACTTCCAATAGTTGGATGGGAAAATCAACCAATTTAAACATAATTAACCATGAAATAGGATCTATTATCCAAGAAAAACAGCACTACAGTTGGTAGGTAACCCATGAATCAAGGATGATTATGCTAATGAGATTGAATGGTTTATTTGTTTAGGGTATTTTTGTGGTATCTATAACTTATAAAACCCACAATGACACTCTTTTGGATGGTTTTGGATGCTTTTGGACCTGGTTCAACCCATCTCGTTGTCATCCCATGAAACAACGCACGTCGGCTGTCAAATCCCGGTGGGTTGTTTTTTCGTGATGCCTCATGAGATTTCAACCTGAACAAAACACTGTTTCGACGAAACCAGTGAATGTACCCTCTGGTAAACATACACATAACTATGGAAAATCACCATGTTCAATGGGAAAATCGACTATTTCTATGGCCATTTTCAATAGCTATGTTAAATTACCAGAGGGTAATATGTAATTATATATATATAGTACCCCCTTGTTGATCATGATTAAATCACTTAAGTCTTCGTTCTATATATCAATTTGTGATAGTAGGTATATTCCCAATAAATCTGAATCGACAGGGTACCCCTAAATCATCAATTTTAGCTTGGGGTTTTCCATTATAAACCAGCCATTTGGGGATCCCCCATTTATGGAAACAACAGAAGGCCTCTGAGTGGAAACTGGGTGGTGCAGAGATGCACGCAGCACACACCTTGGGGCGCGGGTCCGGGGCAACGTGATGGGGGTGGAATTGAACCATTTTTGTTGTCCAACATGGAGGGTTTCCTAAACTGGGGGTATCCCAAAATGGGTGGTTTAGAATGGAAAATCCTATTAAAGTGGATAATTTAGTGGTACCCTATTTTAGGATACCCCTACATTGGTATATAAAACTAGGACTATAGAATATACTTGTAGTTTTGAACATCTAAAAATACAACTATAGATGGGAAAAGAATAGTGCAACTAAAACTATGATGATGCACATCACAAGACTTGGAATATATTGGACATGTATGGACATGTACTATACAAAATAACCCCTTCCTCCTACTACTAAAAAGCGTCGGGCGGGTAGATACCCGCACGACATTGTTAATATGGGGTGGGTGGGGGAGTTGGGGGGGCTAATGACATCCATCCCGTGCCGTCCTTCAAATGAAACAAACAATGTTTCTGATCCAACAAATCAACATCAACCTAACATCTGCAAAGTTTTCAGCAAATCCCAATAAGACCAACCACATGAAGGGCGCAACACCTACCCTGCCAGTTTCACAGTCGTTTTTGCTTCTTCGGGCTGCGACCTCTTCTGTTTAACTTGCGGCCGATTTCTTCTCAGCTACTCTTCCAAGAGCTGCTTCAACTCCACGGAGTTGTCTTTTGTAGTAGTCAGGTTTCGAAATGGCCTGTTGAGTTCTCACCAGCTTTCGAAGTTTCCTGATCTCAGCGCCTGCCCGCGTCGGACATCGTTCTTTTCGATGTCCTTTAGCACCGCAACCAAAACATCTTCTGATTCGAGGCATTTGTGCTGCAGCATGTTCCCCAATGATCTTATCACATGGATATCAATAACACGGATGCACACCAAACATTCGAACTTCCACAACTCTCTTGTCATTTGATGGAAAACAAAGTTAGTTCGTGAAGGCCTCAAAAAACCATGAAGCATGAAAATACTGTAAATACCAAGATGATCTATGCATGACCCTTAAAATAACGCGCGGGTATCTATCCGCCCGTCCAGTTTGATTTTTAATTGATCCCCTCTAGAAAACAATTTAAAACTCAAGGTCCAATTGTGTCAAATTTGAGGGTTCTACTCCCCAATAACCACAAAATACCTCACCCCGGGGTGTTTTTTTATGAGTGTCCTTGGCATCCAATTTTTGGCAATATCTTAATTAGATGTTAAAAGGAACTTGATCGATGTTGAAATCATTTTTTCTTTTGATTCAGGTTTTTAATTCAATATTAGGGGGAAGCTTGGAAATCCAGCTTTTTAGCAATGATGTGATTAGATGTTGATAGACATTGAAATTCAAAATCAAACATTTTTGTGTTATCTGATTGAGGTTCCAAGTTCAATATTAGGGAAAGGCTTCTCCCCCAAATACCAAATACCACCCTAATAATAAAACTACCCATAGCTTTTATTATTTGAGGATGGGGGGACGTTTAAAATTAGGGGAAAGGGATTACATGGGAACATACATAGATTTTATATGCACACTATTATTTTACATATACATACACATAACGAGAACTGCAATTCACAAGATCTGGGATAAATAAATAAACGGGAATAAACATATAACATATACTGTGACTGTTACTGACAGTGGCTGTTTTTGTGAAGTGGAAGAGTTGCATGATCGGCATGAATGTTCTACACGGCTGAGCATGGGTTGGCACTGTACGAGATGCGGTACCTGACAACTGTCAATGACATGTGAGCAGTCTTCAAAACCGAAATGTCGTCCCTTTCTACTGGTTGGTTGACAGGATTTTCCATAATGGACTGCGATCATCCCAAATACATGTGTATGTATATATATATATATATATGTAACTATATATATATATATATTGGATAGAATAGCAGCCTGTATGCGTGTATTTCAAGATGTGGAGGTTCAGCATATCCCAATGCAGACGTGAGCCGTTCTGAATGTGTCACGTGTGGTCCCAAATGCACGCGATTGTTGAGCCCCCAGCAACATGCACCACCAAATTCCTGAGTATAGCATCGGTCATGTGGCTCCAAGAAAAGAACTACCACTCCTACCTGGCCATAGCTTGCTGTGACCACATCTTCCATCTCAAGTACCCAACATGTCCATCTTTTGCACATACAGTAAGGTTTAGAATCCAACAAAATATGATACAACATGACATGCCCTAGTCTTCGAGTGTCAGCCGGGGCCTCCAAATATTGCACGGTCATGGGGAATAAAAAACATGACAGTCACCAACCTTGGTTGCTTTATGGGACAGCTCACACACACACACACACACTTGTAGACTAAATCATTTCACAGATCCGATCAACTTAAGCAGGATCACCCTAGTCAGCAATGGGCTATTGTAGTAACCCTGGATGACAACTCCCCTAAAGTGGAGGATAGTCCGGCTTTCTACCGAGCTACTCAGTGGGGGGTCCTCCAATCTGGAACTTGTCCAAACCTACCTCTTTCTGCTTGACACCTGGAGTGAAGCTACAACTCCAGACTCATCTTTCTTGCTTTGGAAACAACCAGTTGATTCTTAGCTGCTAAACTGAATAGATCTGGATAGTTTATGTATGCACTATATGACTATATCGCAAGCTGGCTAATAAATATATAAATAAATACATACTACATATATATATATACACATACTACATATATATATATATATATACACATTACATACATATATATACACATACCACATATATATATATATATATACATACTACATATATACATATACATGTATATATATATACATATACATATATATATACATATCTATATACACAAACATATATATATATACATATATACATATATATATATATACATATATACATGCATCTCTCTCTCTCTCTAAATATATATATATATACATATGTATGTATACATATATACATAAATATGTATATATATACATTGTACACCTGCTTATTGGTTCAACCCGCGGGACGCAATGAATCATACTGACTCATCGATTATAAGGATGAACGTCATAAATATGTGATCACACCAGCCAGACGTTGACAGTTCAGTATTGGATAATTCTTGGGTTTTCGCTTATGTACACGGAAACTTAATCACATGTCCAGTATACAATGCAAATACAATCAAATACATACATGTATGAGACTTCCGCCCATCAAACTTCAGAAAACACGGTAATCATAAAGTAATCTATATATGCTCGTCCCTTTTCCCTCAATTGACCCATACAAATTTGTATTTTACCCCATCATCTTAGTACGAACCAACCAATTCCTACGAGCCTTGGCTGAGGGTCAAGGTCGATGTTTACGTCAACCCCGAACCTTTCGGATGAGATCTCTACGTTCGATGATCATTTGCAGTATACCCCAAAGAGATACCCGGCAATCAAACGTGGCAATCGGAAAATCCCCCTACAAATGATTTCAATGGAGGTTTAGTTCACTGGGAAAATCATTGGTGAATTTGTTCAGCCAAATCCCTGGTGGGTAAAGCGGTGGTAATTTTCATGTCCACCCTGGATGAATCAACCGTAAATCCCAAAGGGATATTTTCATGGATAGTACCATTCAAGTATCAGATTCTGACAAGGGGGGAGTACCCCCCAAATAAATCCATGGTATTCATATGTATTCATGGTGTAGTTTCTCCGTTGACACCACTGAAAACCACTGGTTGGGATGATGGTTCCCTACATCAACCCGAGCCTCCGGACATCACTGCGAGAGGCGGAGGTGTCGAGACTGGGGCCTCCAGATAGCTTCGTAGGCCTGCCCCGCGTGAACGCTAAGTTAGCTGATAACTTCAATAAAATGGGTTTTTGGTAGATATATCTAGTTACTATACGAATTATTTATGGTAATTATATAGATATATCCAGTTACTATATGGTTTACAAAGTAAAATATAACGGGGGGGCACATAAAACCAATCACAGAGGGGACATATTGGGATAGAGTATGGACATGTGGGGTCACCCTCATGACACAAAAACTCATGTGGGGAAGGTGAATCCCTAAAGAAACTTCCCCTTGGGTCAGCGAATGGAAAGAACCCCGAAAATCCACTGGTTTGAAACCTCAGTTCCCCGTAACACTTGCAAGCGCAAGCCATAGCTTGCCAAAGACAACACGCAATTGTGGACCAGAGCCAGTTGATCATTTCGATGAGTTCCTGAAAATAGCCACTGCAGTAACAAAGGATACATATCATCTATCCATATCTATCCTATGGATCCAAATACTAGGTACTTACCCCCTAAATCAACCCCAAATGTCTCCTCAGAAGGTACCATAGGGATTTATGGGGCTTCCCAGTGATGTTTGTTGGTCTATAAATATCCTGATAGTATTATCTACCATAATCCATAGAATTCACCTGGTGAACTCTGCACCAGCCAAATAGGTTATCTTGAGGGACCCTTGTATAGATATTGATACTTATTTTCCCATTATCCAATTACATCCCAATTATATGTGTATATATATATTATATTATGTAATTACATGTATGTGCATATCTAATCCGATATATATAATAATAATCATATATACGTATATGTATATATATATATATATATATCCAGATCTGTCACACAATCGTCACATCAGACACTCAAAATATAGGTTTTGGGAGGGGGGATAGCATATACATATATATATATCCCTATCTTGATGGTTCATTCCCCAAACCAAAAAGTTGGGTTAGCATCCACCAGTGCCACAGGGCGCCCAGGCGAGGCAGCACCCTCCAGACCATCGCTGCCAAGCCGTTTCCGTGGTGAAAGCCCTGCGTTTTTTGCGCCCCCGGAATCACCACGTTGCGCAACGTGGAAAATGAATGAAAATGTAATGATGTGAAAATGACCAATCAAATATGATATTTTGTAGGATATGTTTTAATAATATCTAATATATATATACATATAATACATCTGATATATATTAGTATGTACATATATCACATAAATCTGGATTTAGGTAAATGTATACAAATATATATATATATATATATACGTCCTATGGATCCAAACACCTCCTGAGAAGGTACAAGACACTCCCCCAAATCATACCCCAAACACTTCCTAAGAAGGTACTTGGATCCATAGGGCTTAGTAATGCAACCAGGATCCAAACTTGGTCACATAATTTTCTTCAGGATTTGAAAAAACTTGATGATTGAAGAATGGCTTGAATCTGATGTGATGATGATTTAAATGATAAGTCATCTTAATGATTTTAATGTTGACCTAACGTATAATTTACATTAATTTTCATGATTGTCTAAGTGATGACTTCATGTTGTGCTGACGATGTTTTTTGTTTCACCATGTGTTATAAACTATGATGCCGATACTTTGATGTTGATTTGACAATGATCATGACTCATCAATTACATGATGATTTGATGATTGATGGATAATTGTGATCATGAACACATCGACGATAAAATAATCATGAACTTATTGTTTAAGCGACAATTTAACCGACATACCATCACTCCAACTAACATTAAACTGTGCCAAATAGGAGCTTGCAAGACTACCTTCCCCTAAAAATGAACATACTATCATCATACTATCATCATGGTCTTTTGCTGTGTGGTAGAACCAAGTATAAATGTGTATGAACAACTCCTGGTTATCCTCCACCGTGGTAGGCTTCCCACCTTGGCAGCATAGGGCTCAGCGAGGCATCGCACGGTCAAGCACAAGCGCAGCGAGGATCGCTGGTCTGGGATAGTAGGGAAAGGCTCTTGGAGAATCTCCCAATTGGTGTTTTCAACCAACAAAGGATCTATAAAGAAGCAACGGTGGAGATGATTAAGATAATTTATATCTAGACCAATCAATATGGGAATATGACGTTAGATTGACGCTTTAGGCCAAGTGGTAAACCATCCCAATGATTCAGGGCTTTGAACAAACACCATTCAATGAGATATGAATCAACAATAGATGCGAACTAAGTTCATCAGTTAAACCAATTATCACACAAGGGAAGTCGAAAGAAATTCTAGTCATGAAGACATTATAATCAGTCTATCTATCAATAAAAATTCATCAATACCAAACAACGACCTGCTCATGTAAAGCAATTAGTGGTCGAATCACCACTCAACATGAACTCAAGGTTTGAACATCATGAAAGTCCAGCCAGGTCACCCGTTGCGGTACGCTACGGTACTTGTCACTCCAGAAATGTCACTCCAGAAGTTACCTGCATAAGGTCATAATATGGCATCCATAATACTAGCCCATACTTGAAAACAACCTTGAGATACCTTGAGTATGGGGCATGGACGGATCCAACACGGGCTTGTGATAAAAAATCGTCTCAAATTATGATGATTTTCAGCCACAAAGGCCTGGCAGCAAGAACATGGTCCAGTGCTGTGACCGACTTTCCCCATCAACAAAAAAGGGGAACAACAAAGGAAATACTCTGGCTGGGCTGACGGGGATACCCCCAAAATTTCATGGTTTATCATGGTTTACCAATATCTTATCAGTCTTATCATCAATGTTATGCTCTCTATTGTCATCATTTCCCCTGTATATTTTCTTCCCTATGGGATCCAGCCTTTTTCCTTCTGAGGAAGCAGGGCTCAGGGGTGACTTAGGGGATCAAACAACACCGTACTTAGAAGGTAGTATTTGGATCCATATAGGGAATATATTAGTTCGTATAATCCCCGAACTTATCATCAATCAACCATACCATGATTTATCAGCTATATATTAACATATACTTACATCCTCATAGTTTGGTGCTTAAACCCCCCTATTGGATAGCTATTTGGTCGGCATACCCCATTTTCAGACACAGCCAACTGCTTCCAACCTTCTCTTTGGCCCTCATCAAGAATAGGCAGCAACCTGGGCCACGGCCGGCAAGGTGGAATTATTTGGATTTCAGCAGTACCATGCACTCCTGATGAAACCAGTTCATATGACAATGGGTCAAAAGTTTGTACCATCGGTTTTCACATCACAGTAGCTGGTATGTGAATCGATGTTCACCCCCAGAAAATGGATAAACCTGAAATTTATAGGTATTGATCCATAGCCATACAGTCCAACATAGCCCAACGACTAACCATCAACAACCAAGTGCTTATGTGTCAACATTGGGAATGGTAGGCGCTGGTTTACTGCTAGAATCTTACTGGAAATGACCGCTCAGTCTGATTTGGATCCATAGTGGGCAGCGCAAGTTATATACATTGTATCAGAACCCTATCTAACTATAGTTCTTAGACTATATAAATAATATTAAATAATATAGATATTATCCGCCATAATTCAACCCGTAGCCTAGTTAGGAACCAGCTGGGCTATCTTGGGGGCCCTGCCTTTAGGGCCTTCCCAGTCCTCTTCGTGAATGAGGTATTCTAAAGTATTCTATGATTTCGAACATCTACGGAGATTCTACGGTACTCTTGGACCAGCAAGGTCAAAAAACGCTGGGTTTCTGGCATTCTTTCAACAAAGCCTGTGGTTTTAAAGTGATGTCAACCTCTCACTTCGTCTCACTTCAACATATATTCCGAAGATTTCAGAAGTCTATAGGTATTGATCCATAGCCATACAGCCCAACATAGCCCAACATAGCCCAACATAGCCCAACGACTAACCATCAACCACCAACCAGCAATCAATTCAAATGATCTCACTGGACAAGGCACCATAAAGCAGAGGGACCGGCCAGTTCCGCCACTTTCCTGCGGGTGGAACGCTCAAAATGATCCAATCCCATTAAAAAAAAAACTGGTGTGGTCCGAAATATGTTTTCCAATCATTTCCAATCAACTAAACCGTGTGTTTCTGAGGGTGTTTGAGATTAGGATCTTCTAAGAGGATACCACTCCAGCTGTGCAATGAATGTGGCCTCACAATGGACTATGGATTGCTCCAAAACAACCATGGGCCCCTGGGGTCCCCTCCGAAAAAAAAGGCGGTCATCGAACATGGCAATGTGAAATAGCCTAGATGAATTTCTCCAGAAACATATCCGTTTTTTTGGGGGGATGTCCCAAAATGCCACGTTTGACGACCGGATGGGAATCTTTTGGGGCCCATAAAAAAATGTGCCCGAACTCTGAGATCTCTGAGGCTTCGGACTCCCGTTTCTTCGGTAATTTGCTGCTTTTCCTCGGGGAACAAACACGATGTGATGATATGTGATGATCAGGTTTGAGGGAAAGATATTTGGTTCATACCATGGACATCATCAGAAATTAACTATGGATGAAAAAATGTATAACATTGTATAACTATGTTCCGTTTGCAAACAACTCTGGGTGATAGTAGAAAACTGTCTTACATTCACTTGAAAATTGTGAAGCCGGCAACTTCTTCCACACCACTGAGTTCGACTCACTTCCAGCAGAGACTTCGACAAATGACACCCGCGCGGTGCTTGGCTTCCCACCAGGATCGCACTTGGCTGGGCGCATAAAACTCGGCCACCTTCGTTGAGGCCTTGGGAGGCCCGTGGTCACATCGGATGGCTTAGATCGGAAAATGTGCAGGAAGCCCACCCCACCAACCAAGAATGATGGACGATCTTTTCCCCACCAAAAAAAGGGGTTTTCATGGCTTCTCATGGCTTTTCCCACACCTTCTCTATATTTGATGGGGAAAACTGGAAAACCCCATGGTTTCCTGTGGATTTTCAGGTCCCCAGGTCCAACCGGTACGCTTCCGGACCTCCCAAATCTCCATTCCAACCATCGCCTGCGATCAGCGAGAAATTCCGACATCAACGTGGCATGGCCAAAGGCATCTCATGTGGGAAAACTCATGGAAAAACCAAGTTCCCAGCATATTCCAGTTTATACCTAATTGATGTATATGATTACCCCATTACTACCATGTATACTAGCAATTAATACAATATATGGAATGTGATGATCAAATACCGTAGAGCTGAAAGATCTGAGTCCAATCGCCACTCCACTGGGTTCAGCATCACTGATCCACCACTGTCACAGACCTTTTGGAGATTTCTTCAGCTGCTCGTTTAACTGAGACGTAATTGCGTGTCTGCTTATCTTTAATGGTCATACAATAATTATGTACATGGTAGCTAATGTTTCTATGAATAAATTATAATAATTTGCGATGATGATTGACTTGTAAATATTAAAGTGGCAATATGCTACAGGGCAAATGTTTAACAACCAGCAGCGAGCGAACGCCACTTCTCTTTCCTTTAAAAAGCGATGGTCTTGGACCCAGAGGTCCAATCTCCGGGCTCCAATCTCCAAGGATACAACCGTGGAGCAGTCCAGTTGACAAGCCGCGATCTAGTCCATGTATGTCCATGTAATCTTGTTGGATGCAGGAGACCTTGTTTTTTCTTGTGTTTTTTTTGTCTTCTCCAATTTCAACCCAGTTCCACCCAGTTCCACGTCAGCTTGGCGAATCGCGAATCGCTCACTTCTTGTAGAGGTCGCCCTCTAACTCCCATGGGAAACGGCCCCAGGTGGGTTTGTCCACTTTGTTGGCCTTCTTGTACTCCTGGAGGTGACGACGGCCAAAAAAAAGGCCTAGAAACCCAAAAAAATGGGTTGATGATGCGGGAGGATCTTCGCTGTTTTATTGTTTTTTTTGCATTGGTAGAATTTAAAGTAGATGAATGTAGATGATGTGTTATTTTGTCAGCAGCTTCTTCAGCAACGGTATGAAGTCGTTCTTACCGCAAGTGGTATCACACCAACGAAATGGTGGCAGATTAAGTTTTTTTTGCACTCCAAGTTATTGATGTTCAAACCCCGCTTGAGATGGAAAATATATCAAAATCAAAGGTTTTGATTGTTTTGACCTATCCCCATACACCATCGAACAAAGACGAGGATAACAAGAAGCACGATGAGTCCAACTTGTCCCGCACTCTACAGGTATATTTCTGGTTTTCAATTGTGCAGTGGCATCATGAAACAGGGCATTGGGACTTCCCCTCAGCAGTGGCGTTTCAGCGCTGTCAAAGGAGTCACTAAAGAGAACCAACTTTGATTTGGACTGATGACGTGCTGATGGTTTTAACTCTGCGGAAGAATTGAATAGTCAATGGGGGACGAAAATCCCAACTATTGAACCTCAAAAATATTCGAAACCAGCAATCGGACCACGTTGAATGCGAATGTTCAATGGGACATGGTTGGGTCGCGGATTTTTCAGGGAGCATGGGAGCTATGATACGTCACATGCATTGGCAGATGGGAGGGGCCATCAGCTGGTGGTTGAATTACCCCTCTTGGCCGATGCCGGGTCGACATGGCTACGATAAACCACCCAATCATAGAAACAGGAATCCAAAATCCAAAATCAAATTTTCCCTTTTTGTCAAAACCCCGTTTCTATGGTCCCAAACATGTGTAAATGCCATCCACCATGGTTTCTAATGGGTGCTCCTCTGCGGTCAGTTCTTTACCGTCAAGGCCATAGTTCCTTTGACGGCAAGTGGTGTGCATGGACACGGCAAATGTCAACGGAATTGATTGAAAGGAACAAGACTTGTTTTGACACTTCAAAAACTCACAAAATCCATTGACATTTGACATTTCCATAGGTCATCGCTTTTTCAACATCCAATTTTTGCGCAACCGACCGCAAAAGCACAGCTTCGGCTGAGGTGCCACCATCCAAATCGACCGGAGAAGAGAAGATAAAGCACACCGAACGGAAAAATCACAAAGAACCTGGGGAACATCAGGAGATCCACTTTTTTGGGATGGAGGTACAGTACAGAATTGGACAGACATCATAATTTAGCCATTAAACAAACATAAAAAAACACACACATCAAACAAGTGATTTGATCATGGATGTCCTGTAATTGAAAACAACATCATTTCACATCATTTTTGACTACGAATCATGAAACAAGTGATTTGATTGGTTTGGCGCCACACTGTAATCACCAGGCCCAATGGTAAAGCCTAACCCAATACACATACCCCATCTGTTTCCATGTTCATTAAACCCGCATTGCTGCCATGGCATACAATTGGATTATGTGTAATATGGCTAGTATATTATATGTGGTAGTGTGGCTATCGTGTTATTTACCGAGCTTCATTTTTGCAATGGCCAATGAAAACAAATGCTGGATTTGCCACCGTACTTGACATGACACGACCATGCGGATGCTCACTGTCTAAACTCATGCGGATTTTGTCAGAGGCCGAGCCCCCCAACTGAACAATCGGAAAGTCATTGGTGATTATCATCACTGGCTCGTATCACATTACGCTTTACACACGAATTAAGAACACACCGATTCCTTTCCGAACCAAGATGCTTGGTTGTGAAAAATACCCAGCTCATGTCATTGGTTACGAACTTAAGACTTACTCAAGTTTTATACCATCCACCAGTTATCCACCAGTTATTACCACTAGTTACCATCCGTTTTCCACAAGTTACCCACCAGCGACTGGGATATTTTTGTGATTTTTTGTGATACTTTTGGATTCATTAGTACTCTATTCCTTGACCCAGCTGGTAAACCCTTACCCTCTGGTTATGACTAACAGTTCGCCATGGTATAGATGGCCCTTAGAAATAGATGGTTTACCTATCAATAGCAGCAGCATGGTGATTTTCGATGGCGAACTGTTAAAAATAACCAGATGGTACTATTTCTTTAATTGCGAACAAAACAAACAGCGGCTGAATCCCAGCCTATGTTTCTCAGGGTCAATTGAAGGTCACCAAAAAATAAAATCAAACCCCACGTATACGCGCCAGCAAACTACTTTTTTCTGTACATAGTATACGTAAATACTGTAGTAAGTAGCAGCAACACAAAATGCTACTTGCTACGCGCCGGTAGTACCATAAACACATCCAAGACTGCTAGTCTGGTTGGTGGTTTGAACCCCTCTGAAAAATATGAAAGCCAGTTTTGGATGATGATACCCCAATATATTATGGAAAGTCATAAAAGTCATGTTCCGAAGCACCAACCTGATGCCAGCTCACTGCAGGATGCCAAGCGGCACGGCGGCGAAGATTTGCTGTTCCAGACCCCATTTCACATAGCCGCCTTCCTGGGATGCCGAAAGGCAAAAATAGAAATCTTGGTTGGTGCTGGTGACTCAATGGTGCACATCATTATACACAATATTTAGAAAAAAGGCTATATATATAATTTATAAACAATATATAAAATGCTATATACACAATATTGGTTATACACAATATGTAATTATATATAATTTAGATACAGTAGATTGATATAAAGCCACTAAGAATGGTTCCAAAAAAGATGCTGTGTTGTTTCCCAATCTCTCAAAACTTTGGGGCCCAGGTCCCATTCTTATCCTCTTACAAGATGGCCATTGTGAATGGATGGTACTGACAGCCTGGAAGTTTTATGTGGTAAAATTGGGGATGTGTTTAACACATTAAATACCTATAAATTACTTCTTCATCAAACTCATGTATGAGGATATATAAATTGCTATTCTAGGCTGCAGAAAAAACAAGTGAAAAAGTGTCCAGTGGACCTGGTTTCCGCAATGCGGAATCGTCATTCCAATGACTATTGCAACTCCTTTGAAAAAATGTCAATGACCCATCATATTGTCTAGTGCTCCCACGAAAGAAAGCCTGGAAAGGATCATGTTTGCACCCACATCAAAACAATCGTTTGAATGGTCGACTTTGCATGTCTTTGCAGTGACTGTTCTAGACATGGCACAGTGGAAGATATCAAGGGAACCAACTGCCAATTGTTTACCATCGCTGTTGAGGGTAATACATGACATGTGCACAAACAAATGATAGATGACTGCAAAAATACATACGTATATGTATATATTATATATATATGAGTTCGTAGAAATATGTAGAGATTGAATAAACGATCAAATAAGTCCATTATGAATCATAGCTCTCAACTATCGTAATCTAGATAGATTTTCAGCAAATCCACGGTCACCACTTCATGTTTCGGCAAGGCTCTCCAAGTTCATCGGCACCTGAGGGGTAACCCGCTTTATGGCGGTCATGTCTTACATTGCCATAGGAAAATGGCCATTTAGTGCAATGATTTGCCTTTGAAGGGTTAAGATTTTCCAAAGCTGTGTGAAAGTACCAGGGTTACCAAGGGGTATCTATGTTAGTGGAGGCTACTTCTTGAAACCAGATGGTAAATCTGGAAAGCAGGCAAAAGTAGCATGAAGTGGCAGTGATAGTTTCGCTTGTGAGCAACAGTTCACCACTTCTGGTAGTTCAAGCTGGCTTGTTGTCCATGTTGTTCGCAATGCATAGACATTTTTGTTGAAATTCATTAAGCTTGAACTTGTGCCCTGGCTTATCATCCACCTTGTTCGCAATGCTTAGACCTTCAATTTTGCGAACTAAGTATATTCGAGAGATACACTGGCTGGTCTCCTAATTAATCACAATCCCGAATTGCTGGCAAATGGGTTTGTCTGAAAATATAGTACCTCTATATCCATTTGTTATAGTCATAATTTTCTCCATTAAATTGCTATTTAGAAGGTATATATTAACCATTTTGAGACAGACCCAAGTCATGAACAAACACAGCACCAAAAGACAGCCATGTCGTCCGGGGCTGATCCACACAGCTGTATCGTCCAGCCTTGTGCATACCTTGTGCGCCGCAGTGGGACTGTCCCATGGGAAGCTTGATGCCAAAGGGCAACAATTCGGTTTCATCGGAAGCGAGTTTAGCGTGTTCTATTCTTATCTGGGTTGAT